ACCAGTGTCATGCATAATGTCCATACTGGTCATCTTGATGTGTCAAACTAGCGTCAGTCCTTGTCGCCACCTGTTGGTTAATGCAGATACCTATTGTGTCTAACACCGAGCCACACAGTGTGACAACAGACATCACAGAACTGCATCCATTGGGGTGGCCCAAATTATCGTGTTTGTTTTACTCTTCCTAATGCTATATACCGTCATGGTCATGGGTAGTTTGAGAAGATATTTGTATTGTCAGGATAACTGGGAGTGGCATTGTGTGGCTGCCAGGGAAGTGGGGTCAAGCTTCAGTTGTACACAGTGTGGTAGTATCATGATGGAAGAACTGATTTCATAACCCCGTACAACACACACGCTAAGATGGTTGTGATTACCCCGGCGTATTCCCCCGTTTCTCCTCCAGCATACATCTTCATTGTCTTTGCACGTGAGCCCTACCATGAATTCTAAACATAGACTCGCGCCCCAGATTTCGTGGAACATGGTTTTGCAATTATCAGCTTTTTCTTTTATTAGAGTAAGAAATCGCTGTGAATGTTGTGCATTGTGTAACCGGGCCTACGTGAGCCCACCCCCCTGCCGTGCCCGTCACGATACCATCCAAGACGCCTCTCTGTCAACTTATCAAGATAAGATTTCTTAGAATGAATGCTTCCATTTATTGGAGGATTCCAGAAACAGCTGATTTTATATTTATAGTCGTATGAGTACACAGAAGTTTTTCTGGAGGCGCACAACCTGCGGTGTTAGCGGCCGGCCTGGGCACCGTGACATCGCCATTGTAGGCTGATCACTGGGATTGCGTGGATGGGATCGTGTTTCACAGAACGGTGGCTAAGGATTGTTTACAAGATATCTTCAATGTAATCAAGTGTAATATGAAGGTCACACGTGTCAGTGATCCTGGCGATATTGTGTAGGTAACTAGGGCAGTGGTGGGTATGAACAACCATAACACAATGTGAAACCTAAACGCGCTGTAACGCACAAGTCAACCACTCAAGTGTGTACAGTTTATTAACAATATCGTCTATTGCAACATAACTGAATAGTCCCTGGCTTTGTAGAGACGTATATATTTACGTCAAGGGGGTCTCCATCTTTGAATATGTAAATAACGTCATCTACCCACATAAAAACACAGTGTTCTATAACTTAAACACACTCACCTGTATCTTGAAGACCCTTCCATGAAATCACTGAATATGCAATAGTTTTTGGTTCGATTTATCGTTTTCCCCATTGCCCAGTCTTGGACAGTGAATGAGGGCGTATGTTTGGAAGCTTCACAGATTCCCTTACTGTCTGAACCAATGGTATGGGATAGAAAGTGGTTCACTACATATATGCAGAAACCATATAATATATATATATATATATATATATATATATGGTTTCTGATATATGAGCACTACCTCATGACGACTTTGAGTCTCTAGCCTACCTAAGAACGTCAACAGTGTGTTATGGGCCGTCCACCTACTTTACTTTTTATGTAATGTACTTTCAATATCTTTTTCACGTAATATGTTATACATGTACATGTCTATTGCTACAACACAACTAAAAGGTGGCCCGTCATCTTTGTGATACATAAGCCGCCTTTTCCTTGGAAACCAGTGGACTCCGGTCCAGAAATAAACCTAGCTAGCGGTGGCAGTAGATCCCATGGTAAACGAACTATGCAATGGAGCATCTCAACTTGATCATATAACATCCGCCCAAACAGGCTATGACGTGTGTGTTCGTGAGTCGCTCGCTGCACGACGGCGGTGATTTGTCTGTATTCATTGTGCTGGAGCATGTTTACGGCCGAGTGCGTCTTGCCATCTGTTGTTCACTTTATCATGCAAGATCGAGCCATGTCCGGATATTGGCTACGATCTTCCCACAGCTCTAATGGGCACTCTGTGTGGGCTGGTCAGAAAATGGCTTGGAAAAATTCCAGCATTTAAATTAATTTGTGTTTTGTTCCTAATACCTGCTGATATTCTTTCGCAGACATAGGTGTTGTGTTGCTTGGATGCAGTGTAAATCACGGAGGGCAAAATGTAGAGATCATTACAAAGTGGAAAAAACAAGCCACGCCCTACACATTCTTCCAGTCACGGATACCTCTGGTTCATATAATACAGTAACAGAGAGGAGGATCCCTTTCACACTATGTATACAGCCTGTAAGTCACGGATCCCACACACTTCTTGTATACAGACTCTAAGCCAGGCATCCCTCACACTTCTTCTATACAGTCTCTAAGTCAGGCATCCCTCACACTTCTTCTATACAGTCTCTAGGTCAGGGATCCCTCACACTTCTTGTATACAGTCTCTAAGTCAGGGATCCCTCACACGTCTTGTATACAGTCTCTAAGTCAGGGATCCCTCACACTTCTTGTATACAGTCTCTAAGTCACAGATCCCTCGCACTTCTTGAATACAGGCTCTAAGTCAGGCATCCCTCACACTTCTTCTATACAGTCTCTAGGTCAGGGATCCCTCACACCTCTTGTATACAGTCTCTAGGTCAGGGATCCCTCACACGTCTTGTATACATCCATCCCTCACACTTCTTCTATACAGTCTCTAAGTCAGGCATCCCTCACACTTCTTCTATACAGTCTCTAGGTCAGGGATCCCTCACACTTCTTGTATACAGTCTCTAAGGGATCCCTCACACGTCTTGTATACAGTCTCTAAGTCAGGGATCCCTCACACTTCTTGTATACAGTCTCTAAGTCACGGATCCCTCGCACTTCTTGTATACAGGCTCTAAGTCAGGCATCCCTCACACTTCTTCTATACAGTCTCTAGGTCTATACAGTCTCTAAGTCAGGCATCCCTCACACTTCTTGTATACAGTCTCTAAGTCAGGGATCCCTCACACGTCTTGTATACAGTCTCTAAGTCAGGGATCCCTCACACTTCTTGTATACAGTCTCTAAGTCAGGGATCCCTCACGTCACTTCTTCTTGTATACAGTCTCTAAGTCAGGGATCCCTCACACTTCTTGTATACAGGATCCCTCTCTAAGTCAGGCATCCCTCACACTTCTTCTATACAGTCTCTAGGTCAGGGATCCCTCACACTTCTTGTATACAGTCTCTAAGTCAGGGATCCCTCACACTTCTTGTATACAGTCTCTAAGTCAGGATCCTCTCAGGGATCCCTCACACTTCTTCTATACAGTCTCTCTAAGTCAGGCATCCCTCACACTTCTTCTATACAGTCTCTAGGTCAGGGATCCCTCACACTTCATGTATACAGTCTCTAAGTCAGGGATCCCTCACACTTCATGTATACAGTCTCTAAGTCAGGGGTCCCTCGCACTTCTTCTATACAGTCTCTAAGTCACGGATCCCTCGCACTTCTTGTTTACAGGCTCTAAGTCAGGGATCCCTCACACTTCTTGTATACAGGCTCTAAGTCAGGGATCCCTCACACTTCTTGTATACAGTCTCTAAGTCAGGGATCCCTCACACTTCTTGTATACAGGCTCTAAGTCAGGGATCCCTCGCACTTCTTCTATACAGGCTCTAAGTCAGGGATCCCTCGCACTTCTTGTTTACAGGCTCTAAGTCAGGGATCCCTCACACTTCTTGTATACAGGCTCTAAGTCACGGATCCCTCACACTTCTTGTATACAGTCTCTAAGCCACAGATCCCTCACAGGCTCTAAGTCTTGTATACAGGCTCTAAGTCACGGATCCCTCGCACTTCTTGTATACAGGCTCTAAGTCAGGGATCCCTCACACTTCTTGTATACAGTCTCTAAGTCACGGATCCCTCGCACTTCTTGTATACAGGCTCTAAGTCACGGATCCCTCACACTTTTTGTATACAGGCTCTAAGTCAGGGATCCCTCACACTTCTTGTATACAGTCTCTAAGTCACGGATCCCTCGCACTTCTTGTATACAGGCTCTAAGTCACGGATCCCTCACACTTCTTGTATGCAGGCTCTAAGTCACGGATCCCTCACACTTCTTGTATACAGGCTCTAAGCCACAGATCCCTCACACTTCTTGTATACAGTCTCTAAGTCAGGGATTCCTCACACTTTTTGTATACAGTCTCTAGGTCAGGGATCCCTCACACTTCTTGTATACAGGCTCTAAGTCACGGATCCCTCACACTTCTTGTATACGGTCTCTAAGTATTACTGAGTCAGTTTACAATGCTCACCCTCTGGACGTACTTGATCCAATAGAGATTTACATTGCCATTTGAGATCATGTAATCCTCAGTCTAATCCTCAGCCTGTACAATGTTCACTACAGACCACACTTAGGGAAGAATTTATACATGATAGTCTCAATAATCGATTTTTTAATACACTCTTGGACTTTATAAGAGAAGTAAGTTGATATCGCGTGAGACGAATCACTGCTCCATTCTGTTTATTGTTCCGCAATGGCTAAAGTGAAGTGAATAATTGTTGACGGTAATAAAGATGCTGGTAAGGCTGGCTGCGGTAGCGACTGACGTTAAAGTGGTATGAGCGACGTGGGGACCATCGACGTTGACTAGGATTATAGGAAGACATCACGTGTCATTACCTAAACATCAAGTTGTATACTGAACAACGCTCATGTTGATAACATTGCCAGTTAAACTTAAGGCTGGTCCTAACGCAGCCATCATCATCAAAGTAAATTACTTTCGGATATTTCCGTCCTGTTGGCCCGGATATGGTCGGCTGTCACAGAGGGCTGAGACCGAGAGCAGGTGAGGCCCGGATGTAGGGATCACCGTCCCGTCCAGGAGTGCCCCGCTCTCACGCAACATGGCGATCAATACAATATTCTCGGTTTGTCGTGCAAATCGACAAAACATGTGCTTCCTTAAATGTTCACTCATACATTTTTTAGTGGAGCCCCAAGTGAACTTGTTTTACCTGTATTGTTCTAATACGAGCTAATGAGCACACCGAGAGCCCCTGTGTGTCCTAGCGACCATTGGTAAATGTAACATCACAAACCATCTATTTGTTTTCTAGGACAAGTGTGCTGTGACCTTACCGTATGGTCACTGAAGAGATGGCTGGTGTTTTACATGTTTGCTGTTATTGACTACATGGTAAGGGAAGAATTAAGTCGTGTTGTAATGCTCTGACCAACAAGTATTCTGACATCTTGTATATGGTCAGTGAAGGACAGACTCGTGTTGTAATGTTTTGACCAACAAGTATTCTGACATCTTGTATATGGACAGTGGAGGACAGACTCGTGTTGTAATGTTTTGACCAACACTTATAATGCTTGTATATGGTGATTGAAGAATTGACAGGTGTTCACGTTTCATCATTTTATTCATACTTCAAACACATGGATGGTGTTGCATAAAGCGTGTCCACATAACAGTAAAAGAGACGGAAATTACAATGTCATCTGGTTTCAGTGTGTTGCATTCATACACAAATGATTGTAACATGGTATCATATGTTTACGTATAGAACGAAACACTTATATATTAAGTGTCATTTATAATCAACAATGACCTTGTTTATTTCAGATATTTATTCAGATCGCATGTTGATGGACGAGACTGTTCTCCAAACGGCGTGTTGTCGATACTCAAGCTCAGTCACAGGTGAGTGAGTTTGGCACTCTCACGGAAACCAAGATGGTACTGTTTTCAGCCTGTTGTTGGTACACAAACACAGGTCACTGTAATGTACAAAACTCGGCAAGCTATCGGATACGCTATTTCATAAAAGTTGTAAAATCTTCGTTTTTGTTTGAAATATATACAAGTGAATGTTTTACAAATTCTTAACAGTATGGAAAAACACGTCAGGACGTTGAAAAGTCATTATTACGTTCTTTAACGTCCGATACATTCTGTTACAAATGGCACATTGTTTATTCAAATTGTCAAGATGGAAATCCACCTACCACTTAATGTCAATGATTTGCACGTGCAAGTCGCTCTATCCATGGAAAGTGGAGGACAATACATATGCATTGTTGCATTTTCACTGTCGTTCACTGGTACCTGTTTGAAATCGCAGCATGAAATGAGACGCTGTTTTACCCTTGCTGAAAGGGGTCAGGCTATAGGCTTTTTGGAATCTGGTCAAACCCAGCAGCAGGTTGCCGTCCGCTTTAAAGTGAGTCAGAGTGTTATTGGTAGACTGTGGCAGAGGTTTCAAGCCAATGGGTCAGTGGAATATGCACGTCAACCAGGTCCCCCTAGAGTCACAACAGTCCGAGATGATAGGCACATGATGAACACTGCGTTACGTAACAGAATGCTTAACGCAGTAGATCTTCAGACAGAACACTTCAATGTTAACAATGTAAGGATATCCAGGAGCACCTTTCGTCGACGATTAAGGGCAAGCCAGACACCGCTGTAGGCGACCTGCTAGTTCGTCCACCACTAACACCACGTCAAAGGCAGGCGCGTTTGAGATGGAGTAGACATCACGGCTGCTGGAATCAACGTCAATGGTCTCATGTGCTCTTCAAAGATGAAAGCAGATTCAATTTGTCCTTCCATGATGGTCCGCAGAAGATTTAGCATCGTAATGGAGAGAGAATCACAGATGCAACTGTGGCCACGCATAACCGATTTGGCGGGTGGTCGGTCATGGTTTGGGCAGGGATAACTCCTACTGGACGTACTCCATGGCACGTGGACGACGGTAATTTTATTGGACAGCGTTATCGGGACGAGATTCCGGCTCCTATAAACATTATGACGACACCTTTAGTTCTATTATTTCTGAGAAACTTTTCTTTACATGCCCTATATATCATTTGACCCTTTAATAATGACGTCTAGTGTTACAGGTCACTGTAATGTAATGGACACGGTGATAACTGTCGTTAAATACCCTTGTAGGTTTATTGATAATAACACGTCCCATGTACAGTGGCTGAAGTGTATGTACATTCCTATTATGACTGAGTTGGCATTGCGTGGGTCGGTTGTTTTTCCCCGGCGACAGCTGTTGTTGTGTTCACCTGGTGACCTGCGGCTGTACTCACGCCGAACGTGACACTTCCAGACACGACACGGTCTAGGTATGTTTTTGGACATTTGTTGGATTACATGCAGTACCCTGTGCTCTGTAAAAGAAAACATTTATGAATGAAAGTGGATAGCTAAACCGTTCCCGTGAAGCAGTCACTATGTATTTCATACTATTTCACTTGTATGTTAACGTGTATCGCACTGCCACACATACATGCATTGTTCCTTGTATCAGATCATGGTTGTTCAATACTAAACACCCAATACGTGAGGTAATAGACTGATAAGATGTCAACAGAACCAGTGTCATACAGCACTTTATACTGACGTACATAGCTGGGCAGATCTGTTGTTGGACATTTGACCAGGGGTGAAAATATTCATTCAGTAGTGGATGTTTTGATCGATTGATTTCATCTTCGGTTGTCAGATTAGCGCTGAGATTTTACCTCTGCTTCAGCCTCGCATAGTGACTTTCTGACGAAGTCCCTTTGTTTGGATTGTTTGTTGTTAGTTTACCACCGTACTTCTTTAGATCGATCGTGGTTCCCTGTAAATAATCGAGGTCAGACGTAACAACCCAGTGTTTGACATCATGATCACCAAACTACACAATCAGGATACGATGACATGCATCAGTCAAGTCAGTAAGCTGGATCACACAATCTCGTTATCGCCTCTTTCGACAAGAGAAAAATCCCTCGTATTTTCACAGTTCCAACGACCCTTTGAAGAATGTTGGTGCAATGGGAATAAATACAAGTTTCTGAAATATACTTTTGTCCAAGTAAATTGGACGTATTTCCAGACTTCATCAGTGGGTTATCCTGGGACAGCCAGTGTGACTATGTGATCTGTCTTAACATTTCCGACCATGGACATACATATATGAAGCATATCAACAATTACATAATTTGATATTGATTACTGTTTCAGTGTTTTAGTTTACAACTAAGGTTTATAAAGTAACTAACATTTCCATGGTTTGATGACACGCAGCAAACAATAATCCCTGTCACCGGGTTATAACAACGTGCGATATTTGCTTGATGCAAGAAGACACACGTTTACAGACTGAATTCTCTTTTGCAGGAGTCTCCAGTACGTGGACAGCTGCTGTAATGGATGTGTGAGGGCCCTTCTGAGAGTGCAAATCAATGCCAGCGACAGTATCACGTCGAGCCAAACTTGTATCAATCAAGCAAAGTTATGTGCCCCAATTGAACGCTGACTTCAACGCTAAAACAAGAAGCAGCTGCTGAACCAATGGCTGACGTTGTTCATGTCTAAAGTCCCCGTGGATCAAATTCTCAATAGTGGTGAGACACCTCAACTCCATCATGTACGGGTTGTTGCTGGAGTCTATCGCGGAGTTCCTGCGCCAGGAGTATGGCGAGGGTGTGTGGACTGAAATCAGACGCAAAGGCGACTTTACCCAGTCTAGTTTTGCCACACATGACATCTATAGTGAAAATCTCATTCAAACTATTGCCCGTATCGCTTCAGAAATCACTGGTGAATCGGTGGATTCTCTCATGGATTCGTTTGGTGTTGCGTTTGTGTCCTTCGTGGGCCAATACGGCTACGACAGGATCCTTAAAGTACTAGGACGTCATATGAGAGATTTTCTAAACGGTTTAGACAATCTGCATGAATATTTGAGATTCAGTTACTCCAAACTCAAGCCGCCGTCCTTCTTCTGTGAGAACGAGAACAAGTCCGGACTGACCCTACACTACCGCAGCAGGAGGAAGGGCTTCCTACACTATGTCAAAGGGCAGATCAGGCAGGTGGGGAAGGTGTTCTACAACACAAAGGTGGAAATATATGTTATATCAGAGGAAATTGTCAGTGACAGGGTTCATGTGATTTTTAGACTCATCTTTGACAACACTGCATACCGAGAGTCGCTCAAAGTTACAGATGACAACATCGTCGACAACATCCCACTACGATCTGAAGTTCTGTTTGAACTTTTCCCCTTCCACATTGTGTTCGGGCGTAACATGGGCATTCGAAGTACTGGATCTGGTCTAGGAGCGGTCATGAGGGTCGTGGTTGGGAAGAGTCTGACTGCGGTATTCGGTCTCCGGCGCCCCCTTGTAGACTTCACGTGGCAAAGTGTAAGTACCGTAGTACTGTACGTTATACCTGATTACCATGCGAAAGAAGAACAATTCTCAGTCTCAGTAAGGTAGCAACAACACTGCCGATTATTTCTGGAAACGGATCCTTGTCAGACTCCCTGTTACGGAAATCCAAGACTCACCCTGATCTGATATGTATACCACACCCTGATATGTTTCACTCACCCTGATCTGATATGTATGTCTCAACCTGACCTGATAAGTATGACTCACCCTGATCTGATATGTATACCACACCCTGATATGTATGTCCCACCCTGATCTGATATGTATGTCTCACCCTGACCTGATAAGTATGACTCACCCTGATCTGATATGTATGTCTCACCCTGATGTGATATGTATGACTCACCCTGACTTGATAAGTATGACTCACCCTGATCTGATATGTATACCACATCCTGATATGTATGTCTCATCCTGATCTGATAAGTATGACTCACCCTGATCCCTGATGTGTATGTCTCACCCTGATGTGATATGTATGACTCACCCTGATCTGATGTGTATGTCTCACCCTGATGTGATATGTATGACTCACCCTGATCTGATATGTATGTTTCACCCTGATACGTATGACATGTGATGGAGATTCTATGACAACGATTGTTGCACAGTTGAAATTGGTATTTAATGACTCCCACATCAGGGGTCGTGTTTGTTGGCAAGATAGTCCTGATTACATTCCCGTCGAATATGTTGTACATAACACATGAATAATGTAATGGTTATTAGTCGTCACACAACATCTACCGAGTCACCTGATACGCTAGGTCTCAGGCTGAACTGAATCCTCGTGTCGACATCTCGGAACAAATGTACATCTGAACTGAGTGTTCCCGAGAACAAATTAGGCAATAAAGATTTGTTTCCTATGGCGATAGACAATATACAATAAATGTTTGACTTCCTCGTTCAGCCGTCTTGTAGTTGTGGAACGCGTCTCCGGCTTGTACGTCTGTAGGTACAAGACATAAACGACATATAACATCCGATATTTAATACGCCTAACTCCGTAACATAACAACCATTCGGACACCATTGTAGCATATCTAATAGGGAATAACATGAATCGATTTGCAATAACATGTCATACTTTCTGTTTGATGGGACAATAATTTGCCACTAATGATGCAACCGATACCTCTACTTGTATTCTGGCTCAATTATCAGCCAGAAAGGAATTAGAAGATTACTTTTCATGTCTTTACTTGTCATGTAACTACTGAAATGTGAAATGCGTCCTGATCTTTAGGAGTTAACTGTACAAAGATCATCCTTACATTAAGAGTGGTGTAGCAATCAGTATTTGTACTGCCTGCTGGATTAAACTGTACAGTCTAGTCCAATACGGGTCGTATCTTGTGTGATAGAGATTATAGTGTCTGCGTCGTCGACAAGAGCTAAGTGTACAGTCTAGTCCAATACGGGTCGTATCTTGTGTGATAGAGATTATAGTGTCTGCGTCGTCGACAAGAGCTAAGTGTACAGTCTAGTCCAATACGGGTCGTATCTTGTGTGATAGAGATTATAGTGTCTGTGTCGTCGACAAGAGCTAAGTGTACAGTCTAGTCCAATACGGGTCGTATCTTGTGTGATAGAGATTATAGTGTCTGCGTCGTCGACAAGAGCTATGTGTACAGTCTAGTCCAATACGGGTCGTATCTTGTGTGATAGAGATTATAGCGTCTGCGTCGTCGACAGGAGCTAAGTGTACAGTCTAGTCCACTACGCATCGTTGTATCTTGTGTGACAGAGCCAACAGTGTTTGTACCCTCTACAGGCGCTAAGTGTACAGTCTAGTCCACTACGCATCGTTGTATCTTGTGTGACAGAGCCAATAGTGTTTGTACCGTCGACAGGAGCTAAGTGTACAGTCTAGTCCACTACGCATCGTTGTATCTTGTGTGACAGAGCCAATAGTGTTTGTGTCGTCGACAGGAGCTAAGCATACAGTCTAGTCCAATACGGGTCGTATCTTGTGTGATAGAGATAATAGTGTTTTTGTCGTCGACAGGAGCTAAGTGTACAGCCTAGTCCAATACGCATCGTTGTATCTTGTGTGACAGAGCCAACAGTGTTTGTACCCTCTACAGGAGCTAAGTGTACAGTCTAGTCCACTACGCATCGTTGTATCTTGTGTGACAGAGCCAATAGTGTTTGTGTCGTCGACAGGAGCTAAGCATACAGTCTAGTCCAATACGGGTCGTATCTTGTGTGATAGAGATAATAGTGTTTTTGTCGTCGACAGGAGCTAAGTGTACAGTCTAGTCCAATACGCATCGTTGTATCTTGTGTGACAGAGCCAATAGTGTTTGTGTCGTCGACAGGCGCTAAGTGTACAGTCTAGTCCACTACGCATCGTTGTATCTTGTGTGACAGAGCCAATAGTGTTTGTGTCGTCGACAGGAGCTAAGCATACAGTCTAGTCCAATACGGGTCGTATCTTGTGTGATAGAGATAATAGTGTTTTTGTCGTCGACAGGAGCTAAGTGTACAGTCTAGTCCAATACGCATCGTTGTATCTTGTGTGACAGAGCCAACAGTGCTTGTACCCTCTACAGGCGCTAAGTGTACAGTCTAGTCCACTACGCATCGTTGTATCTTGTGTGACAGAGCCAATAGTGTTTGTACCGTCGACAGGAGCTAAGTGTACAGTCTAGTCCAATACGCATCGTTGTATCTTGTGTGACAGAGCCAACAGTGTTTGTACCCTCTACAGGCGCTAAGTGTACAGTCTAGTCCACTACGCATCGTTGTATCTTGTGTGACAGAGCCAATAGTGTTTGTACCGTCGACAGGAGCTAAGTGTACAGTCTAGTCCAATACGCATCGCTGTATCTTGTGTGACAGAGCCAACAGTGTTTGTATCTTGTCTGACAGGAGTGTTTGTACCCTCTACAGGAGCTAAGTGTACAGTCTAGTCCACTACGCATCGTTGTATCTTGTGTGACAGAGCCAATAGTGTTTGTGTCGTCGACAGGAGCTAAGCATACAGTCTAGTCCAATACGGGTCGTATCTTGTGTGATAGAGATAATAGTGTTTTTGTCGTCGACAGGAGCTAAGTGTACAGTCTAGTCCAATACGCATCGTTGTATCTTGTGTGACAGAGCCAATAGTGTTTGTGTCGTCGACAGGAGCTAAGTGTACAGGTACTGGTGTGTAGAGTGGCAGCTATAGAGTTGTCAACATGTACGCTTGATGCCTAATGGATGCATTGCAGTGGGCAAGGGCTGTCCTTAACAGATGCTTTCAATGTGTATCTCACATACAGTTGATTCCCAACAAGGATCTCTTAGGCTAGTGCTCCGCCGTGACCAGGCTGTAACGTTACCGTGTGCAACAGACGCACATAACGGAAGGAAACATTGTGGCAGCGCTTTCTGGATCTGGAAGTATTACTTCATACTTTCTTCTTGATACTAATATGAGATTTTCCTTATAGATTATGGCGCACACAAACAACGTATTTGAGCTGATTTCCCTGAAATCCGTCAGAAGACGAATACAAGGCAGCAACTCCGACAGCACGGACGACAGCTCCATCCTCACCGAAGACGAGAAGACAGATTTAGGTGAAGAACTGGAAGTAAACAGTTCGTAATATGTTCAAATACCACTTTGAGCGAACGAATTCGTGATCTACTCATTTGGGCAAACACTCAAAACAGAGGATGGTTTAGTCAAAATATACGAACTTTACATAAATAATGCTTAAGAATATTTACACTTAGCATTGTGAATGGAGTGTGTTGTGAACAGAGTCACTTATTATTGGTTGCAACACTGTAAATGGAGTGTGCTGTGAACAGAGTCACTTATTATTGGTTGCAGCACTGTAAATGGAGTGTGCTGTGAACAGAGTCACTTATTATTGGTTGCAACACTGTGAATGGAGTGTGTTGTGAACAGAGTCACTTATTATTGGCTGCAACACTGTAAATGGAGTGTGTTGTGAACAGAGTCACTTATTATTGGTTGCAACACTGTAAATGGAGTGTGCTGTGAACAGAGTCACTTATTATTGGTTGCAGCACTGTGAATGGAGTGTGTTGTGAACAGAGACACTTATTATTGGTTGCAGCACTGTGAATCGAGTGTGTTGTGAACAGAGTCACTTATTATTGGTTGCAACACTGTAAATGGAGTGTGTTGTGAACAGAGTCACTTATTATTGGTTGCAACACTGTAAATGGAGTGTACTGTGAACAGAGTCACTTATTATTGGTTGCAACACTGTGAATGGAGTGTGCTGTGAACAGAGTCACTTATTATTGGTTGCAGCACTGTGAATGGAGTGTGTTGTGAACAGAGTCACTTATTATTGGTTGCAACACTGTAAATGGAGTGTGTTGTGAACAGAGTCACTTATTATTGGTTGCAACACTGTAAATGGAGTGTACTGTGAACAGAGTCACTTATTATTGGTTGCAACACTGTGAATGGAGTGTGCTGTGAACAGAGTCACTTATTATTGGTTGCAGCACTGTGAATGGAGTGTGTTGTGAACAGAGTCACTTATTATTGGCTGCAACACTGTGAATGGAGTGTGTTGTGCACAGAATCACTTATTATTGGTTGCAACACTGTGAATGGAGTGTGTTGTGAACAGAGACACTTATAATTGGTTGCAGCACTGTGAATGGAGTGTGTTGTGAACAGAGTCACGTATTATTGGTTGCAACACTGTGAATGGAGTTTGTTGTGAACAGAGTCACTTATTATTGGTTGCAACACTGTGAATGGAGTGTGTTGTGAACAGAGCCACTAATTATTGGTTGCAACACTGTGAATGGAGAGTGTTATGAACAGAGTCACTTTTTATTGGTTGCAACACTGTAAATGGAGTGTGTTGTGAACAGAGTCACTTATTATTGGTTGCAACACTGTGAATGGAGTGTGTTGTGAACAGAGTCACTTATTATTGGCTGCAACACTGTAAATGGAGTGTGTTGTGAACAGAATCACTTATTATTGGTTGCAACACTGTGGATGGAGTGTGTTGTGAACAGAGTCGCTTAATATTGTTTGTAGCATTGTGAATGGAGTGTGTTGTGAACAGAGTCACTTATTATTGGTTGCAACACTGTGAATGGAGTGTGTTGTGAACAGAGTCACTTATTATTGGCTGCAACACTGTGAATGGAGTGTGTTGTGCACAGAATCACTTATTATTGGTTGCAACACTGTGAATGGAGTGTGTTGTGAACAGAGACACTTATAATTGGTTGCAGCACTGTGAATGGAGTGTGTTGTGAACAGAGTCACGTATTATTGGTTGCAACACTGTGAATGGAGTTTGTTGTGAACAGAGTCACTTATTATTGGTTGCAACACTGTGAATGGAGTGTGTTGTGAACAGAGCCACTAATTATTGGTTGCAACACTGTGAATGGAGAGTGTTATGAACAGATTCACTTTTTATTGGTTGCAACACTGTAAATGGAGTGTGTTGTGCACAGAATCACTTATTATTGGTTGCAACACTGTGGATGGAGTGTGTTGTGAACAGAGTCACTTAATATTGTTTGTAGCATTGTGAATGGAGTGTGTTGTGAACAGAGTCACTTATTATTGGTTGCACCACTGTGGATGGAGTGTGTTGTGAACAGAATCACTTATTATTGGTTGCAACACTGTGAATGGAGTGTGTTATGAACATAGTCACTTATTATTGGTTGCAACACTGTGGATGGAGTGTGTTGTGAACAGAGTCACTTAATATTGGTTGTAGCATTGTGAATGGAGTGTGTTGTGAACAGTGTCACTTATTATTGGTTGCAACACTGTAAATGGAGTGTGTTGTGAACAGAGTCACTTATTATTGGTTGCAACACTGTGAATGGAGTTTGCTCTGAACAGAGCCACTTATTATTGGTTGCAACACTGTGGATGGAGTGTGTTGTGAACAGAGACACTTATTATTGGTTGCAACACTGTGAATGGAGTGTGTTGTGAACAGAGTCACTTATTATTGGTTGCAACACTGTGAATGGAGTTTGCTGTGAACAGAGTCACTTATTATTGGTTGCAACACTGTGAATGGAGTGTGTTGTGAACAGAGTCACTTATTATTGGTTGCAACACTGTGAATGGAATGTGTTGTGTTCCCAGTCAGTTATTATTGTTTACTTATACCTCTCTTGCAGATTTGAAGTCTCTGGGCGAGGAATCCAACTGTCTCCATCTTAAGGGGCAGATGATGTACATGTGTGAGTGGGACTGCATCATGTTCCTGGGCACACCCATGTAAGCTCCCTACAGAAATGGTCACTACAGCTGTATGTCTGGGCTGACGGTCACTTTGTCAAGTATCTCGGACAGTTACGTGCATATGATGTCCTGGGCATATCGGTTGTTTGTAACGTTTCTAATGATAAGTCATTAATTCCACCTATCTGAAAGTCATGCGAGCGTATGCCCTGGTGTGTTATCCGTCATCCGTCCGATTGTATGTCTGTCTTAAATATGTGCATTTTCGAAATATCGTCTGAAGGTACAAGGCATAAGAATCTGAAGCTTTGTATGAAATACATAATGTGTTTTATACACAGCCGGCCATACTGAAAATGTCCGTTTTTCACCTTTCGGTCGTTTCTGCATGTTTCATTACGTACGTTGAGATGCTGTCAGTAATGACATTACATATAATGGTAATTGTTTATCAATCTAAGTCTTTTGACCTTCACGTACCCCCGTTTTACCACTGTTTTGCATTCTTATGAAACTGAACTATAAGGCTCCTGTGTATGAATGATCCAAATTATGGTGTCAAATAAAAGTGAAGATAGATTCCTATCCGAAATGAGTGAAGATATTGAGATGCTTGCATGCTACCAATTCATATCCTAACAGCTCATACCATACGACACCACACATTACCGAAAGTGTATTTAATCTAAATACAGACACAGATGAAACCGACTTGAGAGTGCAACAGTGCAACTAGTATTGAGTAGTTAGGTCCCACAGTGAAGTTACAGCCAACAGTTACATCTTACATGTAAGCACATAACCTAGGACATCAAGGTATAGTAATGGTTTATCTGCAGCTAAACTGTTTCACAATGTTGAGCTTTACAGTTGTTCCGCCATGAACTTCCTGTGTTTCAGCATGGACAGTCTTGACGATATGTTCAACGTTGGTCTGTACATCAATGACCTCAGTATGCACGACTCAAGCAGGGACCTCGTACTGGCAGGGACACAGCAGTCCGCAGAGCTCAAGTTAGCTCTGGATCAGGTAAACGTCCCTCGCACACTCTGCCATAGATAATTATACCATAACTGCCTTCAATACACCAGGGATATAACGCTATATCTTACCGCCTTCTGGTGGAAAGCACTACATCAAGATATAATTTTGCTTTGCATTTAGGATTGCTTCGCTGTGCGGCTCCTCTGGCTGTACTGTGTAAAAATATTGTCATTGTTATGAATTCAGGAACAAGAGAAGAGCCGGCTTTTGGAAGAGAGTATGCTGAAGTTAGATGCCGAGATGAAGAGAACAGATGCATTGCTTTACCAAATGATACCGAAACCTGTCGCTGATAGACTTAGGAGGGGTGAACCGTCAGTCAACACGTGTGAGGTGTGTTATCATTCAAAATCTGTCAGATGAGGTGTTGGTCAGCATCTGTTTGATGAGATCTCTGTCAACACGTGTGAGCTGAGTTCAGTCAACACGTGTGATGTGAGGTCTCAGTTAACACGTGTGAGGTGAGGTCTCAGTCAACACGTGTGAGGTGAGTTCTGAGTGTGAGGTGAGTTCTGAGTCAACACGTGTTAGATGACATTTCTGTCAACACCTGTGATGTGAGTTCAGTCAACACGTGTGATGTGAGGTCTCAGTTAACACGTGTGATGTGAGGTCTCAGTCAACACGTGTGAGGTGAGTTCTGAGTTAACACGTGCGAGATGAGTTCTGAGTCAACACGTGTTAGATGAGTTCTCAGTCTACATGTGTGAGGTGAGTTCTCAGTCAACACATGTGAGGTGAGTTCTCAGTCAACACGTGTGAGGTGAGGTCTGAGTCAACACGTGTGAGATGAGTTCTGAGTCTACACGTGTGAGGTGAGGTAACAGTCAACACATGTGAGGTGAGCTCTCAGTCAACTCGTGTGAGGTGAGTTCTGAGTCAACACGTGTGAGGTGAGGTATGAGTCAACACGTGTGAGGTGAGGTCTGCGTCAACACGTGTGAGGTGAGGTCTGAGTCAACACATGTGAGGTGAGTTCTCTGTCAACACGTGTGAGGTGAGGTCTCAGTTAACACGTGTGGGGTGAGGTCTCAGTCAACACGTGTTAGGTGAGGTCTCAGTCAACACGTGTGAGGTGAGTTCTCAGCCAACAAATGTGAAGCTAGGTCTCAGTGAATACGTCTGAGATAAGGTCCCACAACATCTGTCAGATGAGGTGTCGGTAAACACCTTTTAGATGAGATCTCTGTCAACATGTGTGATGTGAGGTGTCACTCAACACCTATTAGATGAGGTCTCAACTAACACGTGTGATGTCAGTGTGATGCCTGTTACATGAGGTCTCTGTCAACACCTGTTAGACGAGGTCTCTGTCAACACGTGTGATGTGAAATTTCACTCAGCATCTGTTAGACGAGGTCTCTGTCAAGATCCCCGAGAATAATCCTCATACATCTCTTATATAGGTTATGTTTGATGATCTGTGTTTGTTTGAGATTATTTCGGAGTACCTCCAAGGTAGGTTTTACCTGCGCGGTACGGTTTTGGTGAGGACTTGTGATGTATTGTATTGGTCAGCCTTGGCGAATTGTGTGCTCAGCCAATACGTGTAATCTAGGTTCTTTGTACCTTGGAGATCTCAACACGTGTGAAGTGACATCCAAGTCTCAGTTAGCTCCCGTGAGACTATGTAATCTATACGATACGTATGCCCTGATGTGAGAGACTATGTAATCTATACGATACGTATGCCCTGATGTGAGAGACTATGTAATCTATACGATACGTATGCCCTGATGTGAGAGACTATGTAATCTATACGATACGTATGCCCTGATGTGAGAGACTATGTAATCTATACGATACGTATGCCCTGATGTGAGAGACTATGTAATCTATACGATACGTATGCCCTGATGTGAGAGACTATGTAATCTATATGATACGTATGCCCTGATGTGAGAGACTATGTAATCTATACGATACGTATGCCCTGATGTGACTGAGATCTCTAATGATCCCGTACAACCGGTTGTGTTTTCATACCCTATGTTACAAAGTCATCTGTGCTCTGACCGACTATGGCAGACGTCTAGTAAGTCAACTGCTTATGTTTCAGGTTTTCGACAATGTAACAATCCTGTTCAGCGACGTGGTGGGCTTCACGACAATCTGCAGCCAGATTACACCTATGGAGGTTGTCTCCATGCTCAACGCCATGTATACAAAATTTGATAAACTGAGTGAAGAACACAGGGTTTACAAGGTAATTACGGAGAACATCACACAAACAAACAATACTATCCTTCTGGTGAGTTTAGCCGCATGTTTGATGTTATGTTCACATACGGTGTTAAATCCTTGGACTATTGTTCCATCAGAAAGAACACTAATAAACTTCATTTACATATTAATCTGCATTTTACTTTCCTTATATACTACTTAATTACATAAACCATCTAGATTTTTGGGTTGTTTTTTTACGCCAACATATCTAACGTCACATGGGGTTTCATAGCCCCGGTCTGCTAGATGGTGTTTATGTAACGATGAGCATGTCTATCGGTGCGCCCGTTTTCCGTTTCCGGGCTCCTAAAGCATCGAATGTATCTTGTTGAAACTTGCCATACAGATCAGTCGTATGGTGAATTATTGCCATATGGTGATTTGGGATATTTACATCAGGACAATTTAGAATTATACAGAAAACGAGAGTAGTGTTCATTTCCAGAGCGGAACCCCAAAACTGTTAACTATTTCTGATGTCCTGATGCCTTTTGATGATTTGCGAACTTAGTATATATTTCTAATGCTCCAATATCGTTGAATATGTCTAAGAGAACTGGTGCAGTTTGATCTTTTCGGATTTTATATTTCGGATGTTGTTTATTTTTCATGCTGGCAAGTAGAAACTTGCTATACAGATAGAACTACTAGTGCTGAACTGATGTCTTTTGATAATTTGCGATTATTTCGATAAGTTGGATCTGACTGATACGAGAGTCTTGCTCGTTTTCGGAGCATAACCAGCTCGTCCTTGCGTTTTTCTTGATACATCTTGCTATACAGTTTAATGGTGAACTGGTGCCTTTTGATGACACGGGGTATTGACATTATTGTTTCTTCACTGAAATGAAGGTATCGGATGGCAATGTACAGTAGATAAGGACAAGCAGCATAAACCCATGATATATTCGAGAGTTATAAAGGAGGATTGCTGTGTTATTATTAACACGTATTTGTCGTATTATGTCCTTGTGTGAGAACTGATACGAACGTATCTGGCTCCTTGGTTTGAAAACAATATTGGCACTATTATATCTTCAGTCCTCAGATGTTCATCACTGTTATCAGTCAGTGTGCAACCATGCTGGAGGAGAGAGGTGGTACAGGTGTGCATATATCTCCAAACATTTCTCATGTATTTTCTTTACTACATGTTGATGAGGTATCGTGAGATCCAACACTGCTCTAGAACAGTACTCCCAACAAAAGTACTAGAATCTGTATTTTACTGAGAAAGTGTAATCCCAAATATATCATATGCTACTGCTCTAGAACTTCAATGGAAATTATTGTTGTGGAAATAGTATGTGTAGAAACTGGAATGAAAGTCAACACAAACAAAACTAGAGCAATAGTCCCAGAGGCAGGAAGTATGGAAGAGGGTAGTTACCATGTATATATATCTAGGTGTTGTTTTCACTCGTATTCTGTCATGGACAGCAGTTCAAGCAAGGAAAGCATTATTCTCAATTATCTATCATTATCAGAAATACTTTTGATATATTGAACATCATGACCTCTTTATTATTATTTTTAATTCTTTGATCACACTTATTTTGCGTTATGGGTCTGTGACATGGGTCGTCCGAACCAAGCTTATGGTATTCCTAAATCGTTTATTGATAACAGTAAAACAATATCGGCATCTCATTTAAGAAGAATATTATTGAACTACGGAATTTTCTTCCTGTGGCTTTTTCATGAAAGTGGTTGTACCAGATCTCTTATGGTGATGTTCAAACAGAGATTTTATGACTGCTTCTTTCAACAAGTAATTGAAGCTTTACCAATATGGAATTACTCTGTGTACACATCTCTACTTAGCGTTGAGGCCTATTTGACCAGTGACCTTATACCTTATAACACTGTTTCGGTGCAATAACTTGTCTTGCAGCTGAATGTGGCCGCCATACACATACCACCTATGATGAATGTTTGTGTATATTCCGTCATGCTCGGGGCTTCGACTGTATCGAAGATGAACCACAAGTCCTGCTAATATAAATTTACAATAGATATTCCAATGTGGGAGAGACTACTTTCCAAATAATATGATTAGCCAGCCTACAACTGAAGCTTATACGGCTGATGTCAAGTGGCAGTATCCATAATAATACATGCTTGAGTAAATTCCAAAGACAAAGAAAATATCACCCTTACAGCATGAATCAGCAAACTAACAGCCAGTCATCAGCATGTATATAACTACCACCTTTCCACATGTTTGTATTATGGGCACGGGGTCTGTCTGTCTGTCTGTCTGTTAAAAGCAGCCAAACTCAATTTCTAAATGGCACCACTCACGCGGTAGGGTATTTGTCGTCTCCCAGTGACACTTCTGTGAGGGAGGAACAGGATCTCCGGTATCATATGCTTGTCAATAGGACCTCCAGTATCATATGCTTGTCAATAGGACCTCCGGTAGCATATGCTTTTCAATAGGACCTCCGGTATCATATGCTTGTCAATAGGACCTCCAGTATCATATGCTTTCAATAGGACTTCCGGTAGCATATACTTTTCAATAGGACTTCCGGTATCATATGCTTGTCAATAGGACCTCCAGTATCATATGCTTGTCAATAGGACCTCCGGTAGCATATGCTTGTCAATAGGACCACCGGTATCATATGCTTGTCAATAGGACTTCCGGTATCATATGCTTGTCAATAGGACCTCTGGTATCATATGCTTGTCAACAGGACCTCCGGTAGCATATGCTTGTGAGTTCGAGTGACCACGAGACATGGTTGACTCCGTTGCGTTGAGGCGACATAATGTTGAGCGTGCTTCCTCAAATAGTTTTAGGCTGTTCTAATATAACTTGAATAATGTGAGGTAAAATAACAGTGAAGATAGCTAGATGTCTGTTTCGGACTCTAACGTTAGACATCATGCACTTAATGATGCATTCGACAGTGCATACTTTAGACATCAAGACGCATACTTGCTCTTCTTCTGGGTTTTTTTTTTTTAAAAACTAAGCGATTTACGTTGGTATTTTTCTCAGCCACTTCCTGGTTTTCTTTATCCCCCCGGCATGTAATGCGGGGGGATATAGTCGACTCCTCGTCCGTCCGTCCGTAATAATTTTGTTTCCGGAGCTTAACTCAAAAACCGTTCAATATTTTTCAACAAAACTGGATAGACATATCAAACAGAACCTAAAGTGTTGCCTTTTCCTATTTGCAGATTTTTGGCATTTTTAGTTTTCCGAATTTCCATGGAAACAATCTGGACCTAGTCCAAAAAATCAAGTTGGACTTTAAGTAACTGTCAGTTGATTTGTTCTTTCAAATTTATGGGGGCCGGGGGATTTGTCATCTTCTGATGACTCTTGTTTGTCATAATTATAGTTTTCTTGCAGGTAAACGTCTGACGTGGCATAATCTATTTCTGCCTATTACACAGGTTGATACTCCCACAACAAAAGAAGCTTCAGTTGCTAACATGGTAGATAAATGCGCTCTCCCCTGATTGCAGGTTGAGACGATCGGCGACGCCTACATGGTAGTGTCAGGTGCGCCTACCGTCACCAAGTTCCACGGACTGCAGATCTGCGACATGGCACTGGGGATGCTGGACTCCATGTGGGACCTGAAGGACCCGTCTACGGGAGGGAACATGAAGATCAGGGTCGGTTAGTACACGGACAGGCTTACACTGAGTCTGGATACTCACCATTAGTGTCAAATTGGGTTTTACATGTCCTAAGACATGCTTGTTATAAGAGGCGGCTATCGAGATCAGATAATTCCAGTCTCTGGTAGTGCTTCTCTATTATTTAAAAAGTGATGAGTGCGACGTTGAACAACAAACCGACATTATTCTAGCATACCGATCCAAGGGAACAGAGCGAAAATTTAGTGGTTCGCTCCCTGGATGCGTCATACCAATGCTGTATATTACTTGTTGAAACCCTGATTGTTGTACTGCTGCAACACTATGAAAGCGCCTTTAGTTCTGACCCCACCCACCTTCATCCACACACCTCTTCATCACAGAGTTTCTTTATATATTCTCCGAGTCTCACCAGAGACCATATAATCTATTATATGGTCTCTGGTTTCACTCAGTGCAGAACCAAGCTTGCAAGGAAACCTGGATAAGAATCAAGGAACACTGCATGTAAGGTTGGGAATGTTCATGTTCATTAGCTAGAAAAAGGTTTCGTGTGTAAGGAACTTCACACAGTATATGTTGATGTACTGCTATTGCTTTGGCCATTCTTCCAGTGAATCTGGATGTCTTGAAAACATTGGGTAGCACGCGTGCTTCATTGGATATATGTATATATAGTGACATGTGACAGGGGTGTCTGTTTGTTGTAGGTATCCATACGGGGACGACTGTGGCCGGAGTAGTGGGAATAAAGATGCCGAGATACTGTCTGTTTGGTGACACTGTCAACACTGCATCCAGGATGGAAACAAGTGGAGAGGTGAGACTGATTGTGACTCAGACATACACGTACGTGGCCACGTTGTTCCATCATGAACTCTTACTAGAGTTCTTCGCACACGTGTCATATTCTGTGATAAGGTACTTTTATCATCGTGTATCGGTCTTCAATGATCTCAGGTGTAAAATATTTGAGTTAGGTATCAAATGTCAGAGGTAATGTTTAATTCATTGTTCAAGGCGATGAAAATTCACATCAGCGAGACAACGAAGAAGGAGCTTGAGCCGTATCCGTACCAGGTAGAAGAAAGAGGAAGTATCGAGGTCAAGGTTAGTCAGTAACTAGTCCGGATTAACGAGGCTTCACTGTATACACAGTCTGAAATACTTTATTCACGTACGTATCATATATTATATACTAGTAGTCATTGAAAGATGAAAACATGCAGGTATAACAAGAGATCACTCCGTTCTTTATAGTTGTGTATATTTCCAGGGTAAAGGTTCCATCCGGTCCTTCTGGCTACTGAGCAAGGACACGTCGAGTGATTCTGGTGGTCCCAGGTGCCCATTTACAAGCTACCTCGAGGACGAAATAAAGAAGATCAACAAAGACTGCTCAGGAGATCTGTCACAAAGTGCCGACGGCTCGAGGTCCGTCTACTCGCCAGTTTCCTTTGAAGATATTCCCAAGAGCACCTTTAACTCACCAGTACATGCAGAGACATGTCGCCCAGCCAAGATCAATAACACTCTCAATAACAATGAAGCCAATAAAAATGTCGTATATGTGGAATCGCGGGATGAAAGCCCAAAAAAGATTCAAGATTCTCGAGACACATACTCTAAACCGAAAGATGTTGGGATGATAAAAAATCCCCTTCACCAGCCCAACCGCCCTCCAAGTGCCAACAGCCGGGGCAAGAAGGAGGATTCTGAGAAGCCCAAAAGTCAGACTTGTTGTATTGTCTAACGTTGATAGTAACACGATCATCCCCATTACACTGAGCCGGGCGGATCGGGTCGTTTCCTCTCATAAAGGATTAGTATATAGTAAGACACTGTCCGTGGCTTAGGAACACGTTGTCTCCTCAGAGACCTAAATAAAATGATATTTGACATTGTATATATTGACTTTCAGTGGAACTTTCATCACTAGATCTACCGACAAATCATCCATGTTTTATATTTATTGTGTAAATATCGCATGTACTTCGTGCCCCCTATCTCAGTTGGAAATATCTATTTGGAAAGTCATAGCTGTTCATAATGTGAATAGAAATCATCTGAGCATACTTATCTATGCTACTGTCCATGTTCTAGTGGTGGACAACGCCTGTGATGTGTCTACTGAGACATATATACTATCGTGTCAGGGAACCCAAAATATCAAAACATTTAGGGATGATGTCACTTGGAAGACGAACACTTAAAAGCCTGCAGCACTGGTAGTGTAGAATCGAGGGATGAACATAGCTCACAGGTCTTATCCTATCATGTACAACATCATTTAATCTTACTGAGCGACAAATAATATCTAAAACGGCCAAATGGCGACTAATGTAAACTAACAAGCCAGGTGTTGAGCCTCTGAATGAGCACAACAGTTACCTAGATGGTCGCTCACATCAGTGAAAGTGAGCATGTACACTGTTACAGCAGGTGTAATCTGATATTGATCATGTAAACACGGGGAAAGTCATGCGGTTCACGTAGACTGGATGCTGAAGCTGGTACTGATCACGTCGACTGACAATACAGACTGGTGATGTCAGCTGCAAGCTGAAATCTGGAAGCTAGTACTGACCACGTAAACTGAAGGGAATAGCTGGTACTACCAACTGAAACAATGGGGACATTTTATGCAAAGCGAAAAGGTGGAGATTGGTTATGTAAACAAGATGAGGTGAACATGTAATAATGGACCAAAACAACCAGACAGTGGTAATTATGTTCATGAAAGGCATCTGTTGAACGACTTCAGACAAACACATATCAGTTTAGACTGTCAGTTTAGTGGATGTTTTTGTATCCAAACAGTTGGGACAGTATTCAGTAATGAATCGCGTTGCCCAACTGTGCAGTAGATGTGAATATATGTATGCCGTGTACTGTGGAGGTTACTGACAGACAGGCTCTATGGTCGATAATAGGTCCTGGAGTCGAACCCCTGTTGGAATGACATGTATAATTGTTATATAGACACTGACCATTCTCTGATTACAACTGTGTTGTAGTCCCGATTCAACCGTTACCGGAATTAAGACATGTCGGCAGAAAAAGGTTTTGTTAAGAAAAATTAGATATGACTACGATGTTGCCATCAAAGCAATTTCACCAAGTAGATTTGCAGTTTGGGGAGACAGTATACGAAATATATATCTTCATAATGGTGATTTTCAAAATGGATCGCGAGAAAACCAGCCTCACGTCCCCTCTACCACCCCCACCCCCCCATTAGGGTTCTCCTTCCCTTACAAGTTTGTAAGTGCTAATGGTAAGGTTGGAAGTGTCAATTTGGCGAAAGTGTAGGTCATTAGCTTATACAAAGTGACCGCTAATGTTTCTTGTTGTTGTGCACACCTAGCCGTCATCTATGGGTAGAGCCTGTTGGAGATATTTGGGCTGAAGCGACAAGAGTCCAGTATTTCTTGTTTCCTGGCTTTAACCATTTACTATTTCAGTGTACAATATTGACTACCACCTGTTTGTAACCACACGGCCTTACATTGTGAAACCTTTAGTGATACAGTAAGTAAATTATTTACAGTAGACTGAGGCAATGTCGCAGTATTGTATATCACCATTTATATATAATTGTCTTTACATATAGTTTGATGATAACATGTTTCTATGTTGGAGACGTATTTTTCTCGGTAGTGAGGAGAATGTATTTTCTTACGTATTATGTTTCAGTTGTTGGTTTTTGCATTGACATTTCGAATAAAGAGATAAGTGCTAAGTTTCACATACTTTACACGGCTTTAAGACTGTATATATGCATCTTTAAAGATCTTATTTGTTTTCCATTTTTTTCTGCCTCATAAATCGGAAATATATACTCATGGACACAAATAAGGGAACGCATGAAAGTACAAGTGTTCGGAGTATACTCTTTTCCGTGTTTCTTCGTATGCTTTGTTTTGCGGTGTGGATGAATATCTGGAAAAAAATAAAGGAACACTTGTACTTTCATGTTTTCCCTTATTCGTTTCCACGAGTGTATGTTTTTGAAAATAGTCCCAAACTATTTGAATATAATTGTTTCATTGAGCTTGTGTGGTGACATACTGATTTCACTATTAAATTTTCTTCAAGCTGCATATACCTTTCCATTTCAATTTGGAATCACCTTAAACCAGACATGCCAAGGTCATCTGGGGACTGACCTGTATTTGCTAAACAATGTTACATTTGCAAATAAAACAAGTCAGTAATACATTTGCCATTGTTCGTGTTGCCATAACATAACGAGAGAGAGAGAGAGAGAGAGAGAGAGAGAGAGAGAGAGAGAGAGAGAGAGAGAGAGAGAGAGAGAGAGAGAGAGAGAGAGAGAGAGAGAGAGAGAGAGAGAGAGAGACTATCTTTTTTTACTAAGAAGTATAACACAATCCCAATCGTTACACTTGATAACTTTCTGAAAGACATATTCATAGCAATATGTTGTTGCACAAATATACTAGAGTAATTTAGTAATAATAGTCATTGTAGTTGACTTTTGTACAAATATAATGAAAACAGTTTTTTGCACAAAAAATAGAATGACGTGGAAGGTAAACATGCAGTAGTTCTATGTGAAGTATAGCAACTACGTGTCTGTCCTTTGGTGAAAACGTAGAGACCGTAAAAAGGAAACGGTATGTTGTTCACGTTCAATATACCGAAAGAAAGAAGACTTTCACTTGTAACCTTTGTTACACTGAGGACGCAAAAGAGGACGTTCACTTGTAACCTTTGTTATACCGAGGACGTGAAAGAGGACGTAAACATGTTACCATTGTTATACTGAGGACGTGAAAGAGGACGTTCACTTGTTACGTTTGTTATACTGAGGACGTGAAAGAATACGTTCACTTGTAACCTTTATTATACTGAGGGACGTGAAAGAGGACGTTCACTTGTTACCTTTGTTATACTGAGGACGTGAAAGAGGACGTTCACTTGTAACCTTTGTTATACTGAGGACGTGAATGAGGACGTTCACTTGTAACCTTTGTTATACTGAGGACGTGAATGAGGACGTTCACTTGTAACCTTTGTTATACCAAGGACGTGAATGAGGACGTTCACTTGTAACCTTTGTTATACTGAGGACGTGAATGAGGACGTTCAGTTGTAACCTTTGTTATACTGATGACGTGAATGAGGACGTTCACTTGTAACCTTTGTTATACTGAGGACGTGAAAGAGGACGTTCACTTGTTACCTTTGTTATACCGAGGACGTGAAAGAGGACGTTCAGTTGTAACCTTCATTATACCAAGGACGTGAAAGAGGACGTTCACTTGTTACCTTTGTTATACCGAGGACGTGAAAGAGGACGTTCACTTGTAACCTTTGTTATACCGAGGACGTGAAAGAGGACGTTCAGTTGTAACCTTCATTATACTGAGGACGTGAAAGAGGACGTTCACTTGTAACCTTTGTTATACCAAGGACGTGAAAGAGGACGTTCACTTGTTACCTTTGTTATACCGAGGACGTGAAAGAGGACGTTCAGTTGTAACCTTTGTTATACTGAGGACGTGAAAGAGGACGTTCACTTGTTACCTTTGTTATACCGAGGACGTGAAAGAGGACGTTCAGTTGTAACCTTCATTATACCAAGGACGTGAAAGAGGACGTTCACTTGTTACCTTTGTTATACTGAGGACGTGAAAGAGGACGTTCACTTGTAACCTTTGTTATACTGAGGACGTGAAAGAGGACGTTCACTTGTTACCTTTGTTATACTGAGGACGTGAAAGAGGACGTTCACCATTTACCTTTGTTATACCGAGGACGTGAATGAGGACGTTCACTTGTTACCTTTGTTATACTGAGGACGTGAAAGAAGACGTTCACTTGTAACCTTTGTTATACTGAGGACGTGAAAGAGGACGTTCACTTGTAACCTTTATTATACTGAGGACGTGAAAGAGGACGTTCACTTGTAACCTTTATTATACTGAGGACGTGAAAGAGGACGTTCACTTGTAACCTTTGTTATACTGAGGACGTGAAAGAGGACGTTCACTTGTAACCTTTGTTATACTGAGGACGTGAAAGGGGACGTTCACTTGTAACTTTGTTATACTGAGGACGTGAAAGAGGACGTTCAGTTGTAACCTTCATTATACTGAGGACGTGAATGAGGACGTTCGCTTGTAACCTTTGTTATACCGAGGACGTGAAAGAGGACGTTCACTTGTAACCTTTGTTATACCGAGGACGTGAAAGAGGACGTTCAGTTGTAACCTTTGTTATACTGAGGACGTGAAAGAGGACGTTCACTTGTAACCTTTGTTATACCGAGGACGTGACAGAGGGCGTTCACTTGTAACCTTTGTTATACTGAGGACGTGAAAGAGGACGTTCAGTTGTAACCTTTGTTATACCGAGGACGTGAAAGAGGACGTTCACTTGTAACCTTTGTTATACTGAGGACGTGAAAGAGGACGTTCACTTGTAACCTTCATTATACTGAGGACGTGAAAGAGGATGTTCACTTGTAACCTTTGTTATACTGAGGACGTGAAAGAGGACGTTCACTTGTTACCTTTGTTATACTGAGGACGTGAAAGAGGACGTTCATATATAACCTTTGTTACACCGAGGACGTGAAAGAGGACGTTCATTTGTAACCTTTGGTATACTGAGGACGTGAAAGAGGACGTTCACTTGTAACCTTTGTTATACTGTTATACGTCATCACATAGCGGGAACTGTGTGAGCATGTGTGACCTGGTCACGTGAACCATGCTTAATTTCTTTGTTACAAATATTCAGGTATTTAGACAAATCCTCCTTAATTGAATATTCACACCGCAACCCATGCAGCATTCGTGCTTGAGATCATAATTGATGGTGGTCTATAACGGTCAAAGGATGCATCAATCTAGTCTTGAGAGTCTGCTGAATGTAAACATTGTTAAACCAGTTACCATGAACATTTCGGAATACATACACAATTTATGTGATGTTATTTTCAGTAGGATAACGTTTATACCGCTTTATATGAAGAAAAGTTACTTTTTACTGTTTGTGTTAGGTATGGTGTATATTTTGTGCATACCATCATTCAACGTAGTCTTCAGATATTTTACGACATCTTCTTTCAGTTTTGGCATCACTCCCTCGAATCTTCAGATCTATTGTCATTTTAAATGAGGAAACATATCAGACATCCGTCCTCAACGGAAACTAAGAACCACGTTCCTGTGTAATTACCTGCGGTTGAACTTGAGGTTATACTCAACATAACGACCGCTTGAGACGTGTATATGTGGATGGTGAATGTTCTTGCTACCGCTAGGGTGGTGGGGTAGTCTAGTGGTTAAAGCGTTCACTTGTCACGCCGAAGGCCCGGGTTTGATTCCCCACATGGGTACAATGTGTGAAGCCTATTTCTGGTGTCCCCCACCGTGATATTGCTTGAATATTGCTCAAAACGGCGTAAAACCATGCTCAGGCAGTCCTACCGCTAACATGGATGATAAATTAAATAGCGGATCAGTGCATAAACATAGACATGATATAGTCGTGATGACGTGAACAGAAGTTACGCCCTGGTATATCCTACTATCTGTGATTCAAATAAGACGACTTACCTCATTGATTGAAACGTCCTGTACATGTTTATTTTGCTATCTTTAGTCTCAGTCGAAACCCACTTTCTAACAGATCAAATATATTGAAAAAGCATTACACAAATAACGAAATCACTAAAGATTATGATCCTGTGTTTATCAAATAATAGAAATTGGCAACAAATAGCGGAATAATTCATCGCAAGTTCATAAGGGTATAAAACAACATGACCGTGTTGAAATATTCAAAGTTGATCATCAAAATATACCAAACAGCACAATTACACATGAACATTTCATAATCAAGTCATGAACACATAAAAAATACCGTATCCATTTTTCATGATGCAATAAATTGAACATATTCATCCCTTGTTCATTATCGATGAGTAACATCAAACATTTGATTATAATCAAACGTGTATTGTTGAGCACTTCTCCAAGAAAGACATTCTGTCACGAAGCTGTCTGGTACTCCGTGTGTTTGTACAGCACATTATGGTTTACTTGAAGTTCTACATTGACAAGACAAGAAATGCCTTTACTTTGTGACACCTCTTCGTCCATCTTTATGGCATTGCGTGTTTTGTCTTTAGTATCACTGTGCCGAGTGCGCTTACAGATGACGACAGCGACTATGGCGGTAACGATAACTGCCACGCCCACCCCTCCGATTGCAGAACCGAGAACCACTGGGGATACATCGCCTGGAGATACACACAAGATACACATAAGATGCACTGTCGGATACACACAAGATACACACAAGATGCACAGTCAGATAGACACACGATACACATAAGATGTACAGTCAGCTACGCACAGGATGCACAGTCAGATACACACAAGATGCATATAGGATACACAGTCAGATACACACAAGATGCTTATAGGATGCACAGTCAGATACACACAAGATGCATATAGGATGCGTGACGGGCGAACTGGCTAAAGCGCCAGGCTAGTGATCCAGCGAGCTTGAGGTGACGGGATCGAGCCCACCTGTGACCGGGTGTACAAACCTTGGAGTAGACTTTGTGTGCAGACTCTTTCAGTGTTGTCACAACACCTAGTGTACAGTACACAATGGGTACCTCGTAAGGATTGGAATGCCACGATAACTCGGTGCGCCTAGTGGCTGCAAGAGTTGTATGATCCCCAGAGAGTTGAGATTGACAATACGATGTGCCGTTGAGATTGACATTCAGTGAACGAGGGAAAAACAAAGCGCATTTGAGCAGCTGAGCTGAGCTGGATATCGGCGCTATACAAATGTTAGTATGTATGTCTGTCTGTATGTACAGTCATATACACACAAGATGCACAGTCAGATACACACAAGATACACAGTCAGATACAATGGTCAGCTACCTGGCTCAACACTGGTATAGTATGTAGCAAATATAGAGATAATTATTACCAACGTGCCATGACGATGGACTTTTATGACATTTATGACATGACATGATATTTATCCTATTTGTGAAGATACCCCAGGGCAGATGATCTTCATGTTGACTTCGTGACAATGAGAAAAAGACAAAAGACGTTATAGGATATTATCTGATTCACCTTCATAAATCTTGACATCTGTTGTCGTTGTACCAGTCACCGTCGAAAATGTTTTTCTGGTCGTGACTGAAGTACTTGCGGGCGTCGTTAAACTGAACCAGCTTGATATGCCTGAGGATGTTGATGAGGCTGAAGGAAATGACGAAGTTGGTGATGTGGATGCGGTTGTGGATGTGGATGTGGATGTGGATGTGGATGTGGATGTGGATGTGGATGTGGATGTGGATGTGGACGTGGATGTGGATGTAGATGTGGTTGTGGATGTGGATGTAGATGTGGACGTGGGTGGGAACACTGACACTGACATGGATGTCCTCGTGGGCGTAGGCGTGGTTGTAGGCGTAGTCATGGCTGTGGATGTGGGTGTAGGGGACATGGATGTAGGGGTGTTTGTGGATGAAGATGAAAGGGAAGACGAGGAAGAACTTTTGTCCGGTGGCAGCGACGAGGAGGTTGACACACATGTTTCACAGTCTGGAATATCATAAGAATGTTTCTGCTACAAGGTTTATTGATGTGTAATAGGGGAATCTTTTGTTGTGGACATTACATGATGCCACAGAAGTATTTACGCGAAAACCTGAACGTGAGCAAGTACCTCGAGAAATGGGCTGAACACTTGGCAATCTGTGAACATACGCGTCCAACACGTGTGGAGAACCATGAAGACAACCCTAGTCTTAAAAGCCGTGTCACGTCAATGACGCCAGTCTTGATCCAGAAGATATTTCCAAAGAGAATACATTCTTTATGACATGTGATAAACGTACAATTCATAACCTGTTTCTTGGTAATATAGCTGTATTTAAATCTAAGCCATCAATGTGACTATGGATAAAACCTGAGTTCACCACTGCCAAAAAAGTCCAAACAAAAGAAGCACTTAAGAGGATTTGAGCATCACCACTATATATCATAGAAAGGAAATCAGCTGAAAAGGTTATGGCCTCGGTGTTATAGGACAGTGTGGTTGTCATCATGGTGGACTATCTCCCACAAGACCAGACAATAACCTGTCAATTCTATGCTGCTCTTTTGATCCTGACATAAAGAAAGTAAGACTGAGAGAAATGTCGTGCTCTTCCTTTCGGATATTGGGCCTGGGGACAGCAATAGCCGGAGCCCATTTCAACCTCACCGATCACGTGCTATGGGCTTTGGAGAGGGAATCTACAAAGGCTATTCCTCCAATATCTCTGACAAAAGTGTATGAATATGGAAGTGGCTTACACTGAAAAATCATTTTAATGTCAATAAGCTTAGTCTTTCTACGTGAGTGTAGGATTTGTTTGTCGGTTCTTTGACGCCACACTTAGTAATATTGCAGACGGCGGCGGTTTGTGATAATCCAGTGAGTGACTTCATGAGCATTGATCTACGCAACTGGGATACTATTCATCACCCATATCAGTGAGCCGTTAGTCGCCTCTGACAGCAAGAATGGGATGCAAAAGACCAGTTCTTATCAGGATGAGTCTACGAACGTTACCAATCCTCATGCAGTAAGAAATGTGATCACTGGAATGATTGAAATATGTGTACGCTAAATTATAAACTACAGTCACAATATAGTCTAAAATACTATAACGCCACATAGTATATATCCACACCACAATATTCACGTGTTTGAATGGCGAGTGATAAACGTAAGGTAGAGAATGGATACCCACTTGCTTATAACAAAGAACACAGCGTCTCGAACTATAATTTATGCCCATTCATTGGATTCAAAGGAAACTAGTAGAGACGGTTTCCCCCCTTCAAATTCCCCTTTCCCCCCACCATCCTCACCCCCTTCAGTCCTCCACCACACCATCCCCAGCCTCAAACAAGTTAGGTACACGTACCTATTGTTGTATTAACGCAATGGCCGCTCAAGCACCACTGAAATAAATAATATATATATAAATATAAATGTATTAACCAGACATTAATTAAGTTTAAAGAATCACACATGGTTCTTTACTGTGTGTATAGCGTTGCTGATTTGGGTACTCTGCTACTGATGACTCTTCTATGCTACTGGCTGTATTTACTAGGTTACCGGTGGCGTGTAAGACGATGTTAAGTATGCTAGTGATAAAGTGTACCAAGGTAGTGATGAAATGTACTGCGTTAGTGGTGATGTGTAATCTGTTAGTGACACTTATGTGTAAAATTTTATTGTGTCGAATCTATGGCTGTCTGGATATAAAAGCTTGGTTAAAGTAGCAAGTTGTTAGTATGTATTGTGTTGAGTGTACTGTGTGTATTCGAATACCATGTTGTCTCCACACGCTGTGCCGTCTGCAGCAAAGGTATCGATACATCGATTTTCCCGGTCCTGGCACAGCATCATGGAACACACTCTGCTCAAATCGCCGTTATATGCCCCCTGCAATGATGAGCATACCATGGGAGTGATGCATACATGGCTAAAGAAACCCAGGACTCATTGTAAAGGGTTGGAAAAGTGTAAACGAGGTTTTCAAAAGTGTCAGATCTTCACCATTAACAGTCATCTTCACCATTAACAGGAAATGACATTCAGGGTAACATTAATAATTATTACATGATAGTCGTAGCTGGACAGTCTCTTGACATACTTCCTGACATGCCCAGATTAATACGGACCATTGCCGTTTGTTTGATAAGCACAAAAGTATAGTCATGTCTTCTAGGTTCCGCCTCAGGCCTGCATCAGTTTCGGTCATTTGTGTCCAAGAGTGTTCCAATTGGTTCCCTTTGATGGCAGTTCAGGATGGCGGACAACGCTCGGAAGACAAAAGTCAGGGGTAAAGTTGAAGACGACGAAGTTGATGGTAAACACGTGGCAGAACGAGCACTGGCTAGTGTTCCCGGAGCGGACACCAGACATATATTGAAACAATTATGTCGTTTGAATATAAGAAATTTAAAGAAACTTATGGAAAAGGTTTGCACTATGACATGTTGTTGTGGAAAACCTACCACGCAGAGTAGCGACTGGGCGCCATGTGCTACCTGGCACTGCTGGTTGGCGCTGTACACCTGTCCTGGCAGAGATCTGGTGACATCGCTCACGTTTCTTGCCTGGATCCACTGGGTCAGACACCGCCTCGACTCGCCGCTGAAACCATGTCCGGAAACATGGTTGCTTGGTATACTAGTCAGACATTTTGTTTTGAAATTTAGTACATCTACCCCCACCCTCCTCCCATAATGTTTAAGCATAATTTCAATTATAGACAAAAATTGACCACCGCTAGCACATGGGTACAAAATTGATGCCCCTTTCCCCCTCCTGAACAAAATGGATGACACCCCACCCCCCCTGCTTAAAATCATCATCACAACGCACACAAACACGCGCACGCACGCACGCACGCACACCACCACCATTTCTGAACGGACCCTTAGAAAACAATGTAGTCAGTAAATTCCGTTTATCCAGAAGGCATTTCTTCCAGTGAAATCTTTTGGATTAATACATTCTGGATTAACGAATCATTCATTTGTAAGTAGAAATGTAAACGTCCCGGTACGTTACTGTCCAGAAGGCAGGGGTTCCGGTTTAAAGGGTACTTAAGAGTTAGTATTTTAAAGAATTAACTTAAATGTATTTTCAGTATTTATGGAGGTAGAAACCGGCGTGTATGCTGTGTCAATCGGCATAATTCCACAAACGCAAACAGAAATGTCAACAGATAAGTAAACAGTATTCCGTTAGTGGGACTGTTTTTGGTTTAAAACAATTCTTGGTTTGCACTTTTATGTCCGCCGTCATATTGCAGGAACATTGCTAAAAGCGACGAGGAACCTCACCAACTCACTCACTGCTATTCAATACCACTGTAATCTCATACTTGAGTATGATGAGGAATTGGGTACAGAGTGCCCATAAGGCGCCTCACCCTTTGTCCAACTGGTCGCTGATGTAATGTGTTAACTTCAGGGTCGAGCATGGGGAGAAGTCATAGGGATTATGGGTGTTGTTTTCTGTGCGTTGGTAGCCGACCCCATCAGACATAATGTATCTGTCGGCAGAGGAGCAGTTGTTGTTGTCACCGTCGTGGTCAACTCCTAATCTGAAACAACACAGTGACGGGTGGTCGTGACAAGAACAAAGTGTTTCTCATTTAACAGAAGGTTTCATTCATAAATTTACCTGTTTACCGTCGTGGGAATATTTTATGTCCGCTTCTTATGCTTCTCTCGACTGGGCAGTGAAGGACAAAGTTCCATATATACAACGTTTCCAAATTACTACACAACGAATGTGGATAATCGTGATCAGCTATTACTGTCTCACCCATGTGCCAGCTCATGTGTGGCTGTGAAGATGACTGACATCAGGGCCTCTTTGTCTTCTATCACGGAGATGCTGAAGGGCGGCAGGTTACACACAGTGGCGTAGAACGCGATACCTATTCACACCAATAATTCTCTCCAGCATAGACATTCCATAGGCATATATGTGGATAAATGTGGCAATTTCAGTCAGCATAACCATTAAAAAGCTTTTTATCACACCTAAAATATCTTAACATTCAAACTGAATATGTAAATGGTCATTTTACATTGAATCGGGTTATAAACTTGTTTTAGTTGCTCTTTTAAGTGACAGGAATTGTAGAGAGTCTTAGTCTTAGTCTTACCTAACAGATCCCCTCTTACATCGCCAACTTGGAAGTAGAGATCATACCTGAAATATCACCATATGATTAGAATCCATACTCTATTAGAACCGCTATACAGTTCATGGGTATACGTGACTATCCCAGCATACTCTATTAGAACCGTTATACAGTTCATGGGTATACGTGACTATCCCAGCATACTCTATTAGAACCGTTATACAGTTCATGGGTATACGTGACTCTCCCATCATACTCTATTAGAACCGTTATACAGTTCATGGATATACGTGACTCTCCCAGCATACTCTATTAGAACCGTTATACAGTTCATGGGTATACGTGACTCTCCCAGCATACTCTATTAGAACCGTTATACAGTTCATGGATATACGTGTTCATGCCAGCATTCTTTATTAGAGCCGTGATAAAGTTCATAGGTATACGTGTTCATGCCAGCATACTCTATTAGAGCCGTGATAAGTTCATGAGTATACATTTCCATACCAGCATACTGTATAACAGCCGTACTAAAACACATAACGGTGTTAGTACCCACACCGAAACGTCGCACTCATTGCAATAAAGAAGTTGACTATCCTTAGAACTAAGTGTTCCTTCATCTTCACAACTTCTAAAATGCCTCTCTAAGAACTCACGCGGTAAAGATGCACATTCTGGACAAGTGAGCTACACTGCATGGGATACTAACGTTGTAGAGATGCACATGCTGGACAAGTGAGCTACAGTGCTAGGGATACCTACGCCGTAAAAATCATGAGATGATCGTGGGCTGGTAGGTGTGAGACGTTCTGTTTCAGCTGGAGAGCACCGTCCTGTAGTTTGTCACCATTCACACGGTACAGATCCTGGTATTCCTGGGACTCGTTCAGACGGACACGGCGAAGCCATTCCCCCTCTTCGGACATCTGGTGGAAGATAGCACATAGGCTTTCAAAAGGTGGCAATAATGGTTTAAAACAGATAAATCTTACTTAAGATGAAAAGATATGTCTGACTTTTGTACTTCACGGTTATTGACTACTGAATATACTGAAATGGAATGGAGAGTAAATTAAGAGAGTTGAGCGTCTAAAATAATGTGTATGTTTCAACATTGTTTCTTTATGTCTAACCGGAAGTAGGAAGTGTTTGGCCGGAGATGGGGTATGTCTGGTCATAGATGGGGTATGTGTGGCCCGAGTTAGGATATTTCTGGTCAGAGATGGTTATTTCTGGTCGGTGATGGGATATGTGTGGCCGGACATGAGGTATTTCTGGTTAGAGATGGGGTATGTTTGGCCCGAGTTAGGATATTTCTGGTCAGAGATGGTTATTTCTGGTCGGTGATGGGATATGTGTGGCCGGACATGAGGTATTTCTGGTTAGAGATGGGGTATGTTTGGTCCGAGTTAGGATATTTCTGGTCAGAGATGGTTATTTCTGGTCGATGATGGGATATGTGTGGCCGGACATGAGGTATTTCTGGTTAGAGATGGGGTATGTTTGGTCCGAGTTAGGATATTTCTGGTCAGAGATGGTTATTTCTGGTCGGTGATGGTATATGTGTGGCCGGAGATGAGGTATTTCTGGTCAGAGATGGGTATTTCTGGTCGGTGATGGGATATGTTTGGCCGGAGATGAGGTATTTCTGGTCGGTCATGGGATATGTGTGGCCGGAGATGAGGTATTTCTGGTCGGTGATGGGATATGTGTGGCCGGAGATGAGGTATTTCTGGTCGGTGATGGGATATGTGTAGCCGGAGATGAGGTATTTCTGGTTAGAGATGGGGTATGTTTGGCCGGAGTTGGTTATTTCTTGTCATAGATGAGGTATTTCTTTAAGCAATGGGGTATGTTTGGTCGGAGATGGGGTATGTCTGGTCATAGATGTGGTATGTTTGGTCGGAGTAGGGGTATGTCTTGTCATAGATGGGGTATGTTTGGCCGGACATGACACATTTCTGGTTGGGAGATTGGGTATGTTTGGCCGGAGATGGGGTATGTTTGGCCGGAGATGGAGTATTTCTGCCCGGAAATGGGATATGTCTTGCCGGAATAGTCACAATGAGATACGTACGTGCGTCATGTGCGAGCATTATTATTGTGTCCTTTCAAAAACATGCCCACATTGTTATCCGAGGTATTGTGTTAGTGGAACGGAACATTTGGACCGAATCATTTGGGAAGAGATCCAATTTTGTCGAGATTCTTACCTCTATCATATAACCAATCAGGCGAATATTCATTCGGGGGGAAAACCTTTTATATAGGACGTCAATCTGGAAAGATGGAAACGAAATAAATCAACGTTCAGTAAACAGTTTGTAGTTATAAGACTAAGGCTTAGTCTCTGAATATAAATACTTCTGATACAAACACATAACTTCACTTAAACTGAAAAGGAGCCCCAGAGTGCTCAGAGATTCCTGAACCTGAGGAATTCTAGACTTGGTTCATCTAGAGCTTTTGCTTTGAAGAAAGTGTTGGGCGGCGGGAAAACACTGTGATTCAGGAAGTTTGTTCAGTCTCTAAAGACTCTAGCCACATGTGAGCATCTGCCATCTTACCCCATTAACAACATATCCATAGTATTGGCGTATTTCTTGTAGCGTCTCCTCTTGACGTAGTGTTTCGCTAGTCTGTGTACTTCTATTGTACCACCTGATAACATGAATATTGTGAACACATTAACTAACAGAGACCCAACTCGGTACTCAAAGTTCACCATCAACCACATTACTAATACAGGAAGTGTTCGCCATCGACTGGTTCATTGAAGCAGTACGATGCTAATGTACTCATCTATTCCTGGCAATGATATTTTAGAATCCATTATATTTTAAAACAGAGTTTAAGTACAAGAAATATGTGTCGAATTCCATGCCTACTTGAATTAAAGTCAAAAAGCGAAATCAGAGCTTCATGACTGTGGTATTGTCATAAGATGCGCTACAACGCTCGGCATTTTGAAAAAGACAAACACTTTCCTTCCGTGTTGACAAAAAAGACATATACTACAAATCACTACAATCAAACCGTTTAACACCTGAAGTATATCTTCCTCGTATCTTTTCACATGAAATACAATTATTGCAGAAGACAACCCCGTGGAAATCTCGACTATATAGGCATTAAGCAGAGAGTTCGTTGTGCTGTTCTGGTTATCACAGAAATATATTGATTACCTCCAGACTAAAAAACGGGATGAAAAGTGTTACATTCAAATTTCCTTGAAACAGTGACTGCACAAACAACTTTAGAACCAACTTCACATTAATAACTTAGACGATGTGGTTTTCGAGAAGCTGACCTGCTGTAGAGGTGGTGCTCTATGAGGACGAGTACATCGACGTAGATGTCGTCTGCCTGACGACGCTGTCTGCCACTGTCGTGAGAATCACTAACATCGGCCTCCTCACCAGGGCGTGATGCTGGAAGGGAAACGCCCGTTAGACGTTAGTGTCACTCGGCGTTGTCAGGACGTAACACAGACCTCCAGGACGTAACACAGACCTCCAGGACGTAACACAGACCTCCAGGACGTAACACAGACCTCCAGGACGTAACACATGCAGTAAATACCTCTCAAACATGTGTCATTCAGCATTGTCAGGACGTAACACAGACCTCCAGGACGTAACACATGCAGTAAATACCCCTCAAACATAAGTGTCATTCAGCATTGTCAGGACGTAACACAGACCTCCAGGACGTAACACATGCAGTAAATACCTCTCAAACATGTGTCATTCAGCATTGTCAGGACGTAACACAGACCTCCAGGACGTAACACATGCAGTAAATACCTCTCAAACATGTGTCATTCAGCATTGTCAGGACGTAACACAGACCTCCAGGACGTAACACATGCAGTAAATACCCCTCAAACATAAGTGTCATTCAGCATTGTCAGGACGTAACACAGACCTCCAGGACGTAACACATGCAGTAAATACCTCTCAAACATGTGTCATTCAGCATTGTCAGGACGTAACACAGACCTCCAGGACGTAACACATGCAGTAAATACCTCTCAAACATGTGTCATTCAGCATTGTCAGGACGTAACACAGGCCTCCAGGACGTAACACATGCAGTAAATACCTCTCAAACATGTGTCATTCAGCATTGTCAGGACGTAACACAGACCTCCAGGACGTAACACATGCAGTAAATACCTCTCAAACATGTGTCATTCAGCATTGTCAGGACGTAGCACAGACCTCCAGGACGTAACACATGCAGTAAATACCTCTCAAACATGTGTCATTCAGCATTGTCAGGACGTAACACAGACCTCCAGGACGTAACACATGCAGTAAATACCTCTTAAACATGTGTCATTCAGCATTGTCAGGACGTAACACAGACCTCCAGGACGTAACACATGCAGTAAATACCTCTCAACTCTCAAACATGTGTCATTCAGCATTGTCAGGACGTAACACAGACCTCCAGGACGTAACACATGCAGTAAATACCTCTCAAACATGTGTCATTCAGCATTGTCAGGACGTAACACAGACCTCCAGGACGTAACACATGCAGTAAATACCTCTCAAACATGTGTCATTCAGCATTGTCAGGACGTAACACAGACCTCCAGGACGTAACACATGCAGTAAATACCTCTCAAACATGTGTTATTCAGCGTTGTCAGGACGTAACACAGACCTCCAGGACGTAACACATGCAGTAAATACCTCTCAAACATGTGTCATTCAGCATTGTCAGGACGTAACACAGACCTCCAGGACGTAACACATGCAGTAAATACCTCTCAAACATGTGTTATTCAGCGTTGTCAGGACGTAACACAGACCTCCAGGACGTAACACATGCAGTAAATACCTCTCAAACATGTGTCATTCAGCATTGTCAGGACGTAACACAGACCTCCAGGACGTAACACATGCAGTAAATACCTCTCAAACATGTGTTATTCAGCGTTGTCAGGACGTAACACAGACCTCCAGGACGTAACACATGCAGTAAATACCTCTCAAACATGTGTCATTCAGCATTGTCAGGACGTAACACAGTCCTCCAGGACGTAACACATGCAGTAAATACCTCTCAAACATGTGTTATTCAGCGTTGTCAGGACGTAACACAGACCTCCAGGACGTAACACATGCAGTAAATACCTCTCAAACATGTGTCATTCAGCATTGTCAGGACGTAACACAGACCTCCAGGACGTAACACATGCAGTAAATACCTCTCAAACATGTGTTATTCAGCGTTGTCAGGACGTAACACAGACCTCCAGGACGTAACACATGCAGTAAATACCTCTCAAACATGTGTCATTCAGCATTGTCAGGACGTAACACAGACTTCCAGGACGTAACACATGCAGTAAATACCTCTCAAACATGTGTTATTCAGCGTTGTCAGGACGTAACACAGACCACAAGGACGTAACACATGCAGTAAATACCTCTCAAACATGTGTCATTCAGCATTGTCTGGACGTAACACAGACCTCCAGGACGTAACACATGCAGTAAATACCTCTCAAACATGTGTTATTCAGCGTTGTCAGGACGTAACACATGCAGTAAATACCTCTCAAACATGTGTTATTCAGCGTTGTCAGGACGTAACACAGACCTCCAGGACGTAACACATGCAGTAAATACCTCTCAAACATGTGTCATTCAGCGTTGTCAGGACGTAACACAGACATCCAGGACGTAACACATGCAGTAAATACCTCTCAAACATGTGTTATTCAGCGTTGTCAGGACGTAACACAGACATCCAGGACGTAACACATGCAGTAAATACCTCTCAAACATGTGTCATTCAGCATTGTCAGGACGTAACACAGACATCCAGGACGTAACACATGCAGTAAATACCTCTCAAACATGTGTCATTCAGCGTTGTCAGGACGTAACACAGACATCCAGGACGTAACACATGCAGTAAATACCTCTCAAACATGTGTTATTCAGCGTTGTCAGGACGTAACACAGACATCCAGGACGTAACACATGCAGTAAATATCTCTCAAACATAAGTGTCATTCAGCACTGTCTGAAGTCTGTGTCCATTACAAATACCATCAGAACGTGCCTCTAGAAATACATCCGTGTCAAACATAAGTGTTGTCATCTCACATTCATTTTGTCATGATTCATGTGGACGTCACATTGCTGGAAGAGGCATTAAGATAGGCGTTATTCGTAGGAATTAAAATGTTTAGACAAGGTGTCTTTATGAACTTTCGTCACTAACATTAACTACCAGGACACGGCACTACAAGCAAACATGTGTTAAACATGTCAAATATGTGTCATTTAGAGGTGTCGTGAGCTTGTGTCACTTATATACGGAACAAGGACAAGGACAAAAGTGTCGGGAGCTTCAATGATTTCAATGAAAAAATGTACTTTAATTGATTCTTCATATCTGTAAATCAATTTATGTCGATGTATCTAAACTGGACGACATGTACACATATAACTCACGTGGTAGTTTATAGTCGTAGTGTTGAGTAAGGTACGACACGTCAGTTTGAAGAAGCCTGTACACGTCCTCATACTGGACTGTGTGTGACAGTCTTGGACTTTCACGCTCCAGGCTGTATACGCCTCCTTCTTCGGCCATGAAAGATCCCGCCTGGTAAAACAGAAACTGCATTGTATCGGACATGAACACGGATGTAGCACTGTTAGCGATACACGTTGACTCTACTAGTCTGATAACCAGCCAGGAGTACCAGACACTGCCACAGTTACTGTAGCGGAGGGCAGGGGATGAGAGGGAGTGGAACATAGGAGGTTCCTGTGTATAAACTGTTTCACTGCTCATAACAGATATCATTGCAATCTTGTGCATCTTTATAATACTAGAGAAATTACTCAACCTATAATGACATACCTATGGCCGTCACACTTTGATAAAGGGGAACAAACAAAAGCCCAGTAGGATATACGCCCGTTAGTGTTTAGGGAAAGATAAACTACATGTATGTTGAAATCAGACAAAAAGAAGATGCACCATGAGCTGTCAGTGGTATCTATCATCAGCAGAACGAATATCATGCCCCTTGTCATTTAGAGATTCCCCGAAAGAGAGTTTGTAATGAGTGGGGCCCACAAACAGGAGGTTCATGTGTTCATGAGCTTACTTAACTTTCTAGATGTGCTGTTTGGTCTCATAGCTTACGTTAACACCACCCTCATTATTCTCCAGTAGACCCATGTTTTCATGGTATTGTTCAGTGTCAGAGACCTGCCTCCTTGAAAAATAATGTCAGTTAACTTATATAGTCTGTCTGGGTCAAAATGATGCCGATGAATTACAATCTAACTCCAAATGGGTTCATGATCCAAACTTCATTTCAACACAGAATGTAATGAAAATATCAGACCAACTCTGGAAAAGGTTTCATAACGTTTGTCTGCAAAATAAAAAAGCTACTTAACAAACTATCATAATTTTGTTTTGATTTTCCGTGTGAAGTATGTATTGTTGCAGGAACAGCCTCAAGAACAGGAAGCACGTACAGATTAGGATGTCAAGATTAAGGGTTTATATCAAAACTCTTCCGGACCGGAGACAAACGTTATGAAATTTTTTTCAAGAGTTGGTCTGATTGGAATCAACTAAATTGATGTAGAACTGCTCAGGTTACAGTTTTTCAATATTTTTCACAAACAAATTAAAGCCTTTCACGGAGATGGTTACATACATGAAGTACAAGAAGAAAGGGCTTTTATATAAGTGGGTCATTTATCCCAGGGGTTGGGGGTGGGGTTGGGGGTTTGTTATGCCCGGGTGGGCTTTTGACCTGAGATACTTTTATCCAGAGGGGCTTTTATCTTTCACTCTTGATTACAACACAACTGAACCGGTTCGATTTGGCAAATGTATTCAGAGTGAGAGCGATTATACTATTTCACAAAACAGTATCGCCCTTATTGTTAAACAGTCTTTGTTTTACATCGCAATACATTCCCATTTTGACGTTTAAGGGGTTTCCGGTGATTTGATTGGTTGTTTGCTCACATGACTAAGTCATGTTTCAACAAACTTTACAAAATATATACTGCACCTTTTGACCTTTACATGATTTTGACTGGAACTACTTTTCGTGGGAATTGTCAGTTGGTAGAAAGCTCGACCAACCGGGCAATGTGCTTCCAGTCCCAATACTCTTCAAACATTGCAGGCACAATAAACGACATAACAACCACGAGGCATTTAACGTTTGTTGACTTCAAGTCATTCCCGATAAATTAATGAAAATAACGCTCACTGAGAAATAATGAGTTGTGCTTGTATTTATGGAATTGGAACTACTTTGTTTTGCGTAGGTTTGCGTCCAATGTAACCAGTAACGTAAATCGTCTAAATTGTGTGTCACGTTCAAATTAACACAATGGCTGTAGGGTGTTTACGTGCGATTTTAACTTTCACAGTTCAATGCGTCCATACTGAGGGTGTTTACGTGCGATTTTAACTTGCACAGTTCAATGCGTCCATACTACAGTAAACCACGACATGTCAGATGCGTTTCTGAAATAACACTTGGATGACACAAGAACATGACTACTCATATGATCGTATCATTTACTTTGCCTGTCACGACACTAAACATCGCTAAGACTGCCTGTGAAACTAGATCTCTACAAACATACGTGTCACTAGTGTTTGACACGACACCACTTGACATTGTGAATACTAATCTAGGTATACAGAAACGACAAAACCCTTTCCATGTTTTCCTCTATATCGTGTGTATACAGTTATTTCATTTCACGACATACGAATATATTACACCCTGTAACACCACGACATACGAATATATTACACACTGTAACACCACGACATACGAATATATGACACCCTGTAACACCACGACATACGAATATATGACACCCTGTAACACCACGACATACGAATATATTACACACTGTAACACCACGACATACGAATATATTACACCCTGTAACACCACGACATACGAATATATGACACCCTGTAACACCACGACATACGAATATATTACACACTGTAACACCACGACATACGAATATATTACACCCTGTAACACCACGACATACGAATATATTACACCCTGTAACACCACGACATACGAATATATTACACACTGTAACACCACGACACACGAATATATGACACACTGTAACACCACGACATACGAATATATTACACACTGTAACACCACGACATACGAATATATGACACACTGTAACACCACGACATACGAATATATTACACACTAACACCACGACATACGAATATATTACACCATGTAACACCACGACATACGAATATATTACACCCTGTAACACCACGACATACGAATATATTACACCCTGTAACACCACGACATACGAATATATTACACACTGTAACACCACGACATACGAATATATTACACCCTGTAACACCACGACATACGAATATATTACACCATGTAACACCACGACATACGAATATATTACACCCTGTAACACCACGACATACGAATATATTACACCCTGTAACACCACGACATACGAATATATTACACACTGTAACACCACGACATACGAATATATGACACCCTGTAACACCACGACATACGAATATATTACACCATGTAACACCACGACATACGAATATATTCCATCCTGTAACACCACGACATACGAATATATTACACCCTGTAACACCACGACATACGAATATATTACACCCTGTAACACCACGACATACGAATATGTTACATCCTCTAACCTCACGACATACGAATATATTACACCCTGTAACACCACAACATGTGTTTCTACTGCATTTTCCTATACAGCTTCGCGTGCTTCTACTACAAGATTACAAACCACGACATGTGCTTATACTATATTCTCTCGCGCAACTACATGTGCTTAAACTGTCGCACAACTACATGTGCTTAGACTATATTCTCTCGCACAACTACATGTGCTTATACCATATTCTCTTTCACTACTACGTGCTTAGAGTATATTCTCTCGCACAACTACACGTGCTTAACTTCTTTGAGTGGCATTTTAGAAGTTGGGAAGTACAATATAGAACAAACTTTATGGATAACAACTTCTTTTTATTCGTGAGTGCGACGTTTCGCTACAGATTCTTGTACCGTTGTCAAGCATAATGGAACATGAAGAAGGGGGAAGTGTATATATACTGGATGTAACAATGTAACAAAGAAAACAACATAATTAACATAATTGGCTAGGCAGAAAGCTGATGAAGCCAGAGAGTAGACAAAGGACAGGCGTGGCAGCCAATGATGTACAAATAATAATGCGATGTTTATACAGCAGAGTTTATACAGTAGATTGGGCTTGGTGGATGAGTGCATCATAAGGGGATGGAGAATGTTGTTAAGGCTGGAGGACGCGGAGAGGGTGGTATCTATGCCAGCTAAAGTTTGTTCTATATTGTACATGTGCTTAGACTATATTCTCTCACACCACTATATGTGCTTTAACTACATTTCTTACACCACTATATGTGCGTGTACACCTTTTTTTCTTACTCCGCTATATGTGCTTTCCCCCCTCCTCAAACGCCGTAACCATTAGGTAACGAGTATTTTTACTACACCGTCTAACAAGGTGTAATTCTTGTACATCTCTAGTGAAGTACATGCTACTACAACCTGTACTAACGTGTGTGCAGGTGCATGTTGAACAGCTCATTATGGTACCTGCAAGACAAATAAGAAGATGAGGATGTCCTACCACCACCAGCTGCACTGCGTCCTCTACACGGTGACAGGTAACCCTCATGGTCATCAGTGACGTGTGGTTGTGATAGAACTTGGTCTGAAATCATATCTTATCGTATGTCATCGCTTTCACCAAGGCAACATGAATGTTATCACGCGAATACGTTTTCGGTATATTTCACTAAATTCAAAGAACACACCTACTAGAGCGTCATATCTAACACGGATGTTGCGTTGAGAAACTTGGTTCACGATCTCCAGAACCTATTTCTATATGGTTCAATAAAACACAGATCATGAAGTAAATACATTGATAAACATTTTGTTTACCCGAATCGGCATCGTGCTCTGTGTGACGTAACTCTGTCTCTCGGCCCCATTCTGGGTGTACACCGGGGCGTTCGCGTCGACGTTAGTGTTGGCGGTCACGTTGATATTGTAGGCTTGGACTCCTGCTCTGATAGTGAAGGACAGTGTCACTGGGAGATGACAGTCACGGCTCTCCTGTAGACTTTGTGGAGAAAAGCTCACGATTGCTTTGATTTCTGAGAGAGGAATAAAGAGTTATAAGGACAAGTGTAAGTTAACAAGGACCATTATCCCTTAAGACTGACAACACCACAAATATAAGCTTTGTAAGAGCTTCCTCTTTACGGCTGGTTGTCATATCCACGTTCTACCATGTTACTGATCGTCTACCCGGAAGCTGCTGGCGACTCTTCCAACATAATTCATTAAAGCTGATCATTCTCGCCGGACACCCGAACACTCACCACTACCTCCGTGTACAGCTGGCGACAGGGCCAACACCAGGACCATCACAACGTGTGAACAGGTCGACATCTTGAATACAACCGTAAACCGCGGACATTCCGTCCTTTCACAGTGGACCTAACTAGGTTAAACCTACATTCAATCTCTTTCTGTTTGTCTGAGTAAATACGGAAATATAATACAATGCATATTGAGATTTAACGTAACTGATATATGAATAAATACGTTCGGATTGTGATGCGTGCATGATGATCATGCTTTAAATAACATCCCGTCTAAAACCAAGCCAAGTAGAGTTGAAGACAGACAGATTGTTCATTAAGTCTCACCTCAATATAAAATAGATACAGTACAAAAAAACCACAAAAAGTTGAGCCACTCCTATAAGGAGTTATGAGAGACAAAGTTCTGTAAAATGTACACAAAGATAAAATATTATTGTATAAACGATAAATGTTGTAATAAATCAATATAAGCAATTAAACTATAAAGCTGAATTATGTATTATATATACTAAGCAGCAAAAGAAACGTCAGTTTGGAATTTTCCTTCGCAGAAACGGATAGCTGTAAACTCATTTAATGTTTTGATTGCATATTTTTGACAACATCTCCAACTTTACCTGAGCAAAGACATTCCTTCCCAAACTCAGAATTGAACCAAGGAAAAGGTCTCAAAAGCGCAACCTGACCTCGGAGATGGTACGGTGTACTCCATGTTTTTCAGGCAACTCATGCTGCACGTGCTGTTCACAAGGACCAGCCCTATAAAATGCAACCCAAAACCTGGTTGAAACATTCACATTACAAAGTCAGCAGGATGCCGCGATTCACGACAGCTCAGAGGGACCAGGCGCTAGGAAGACTTGAAGCTGGCCACACTGCACAAGCCGTTGTCAATCACTTCTAGGTCAACGTTCGCACCATCTACAGGCTGCAGCAACGTTTCCGGGCCACCAAAACCACAAATGATCATCCCCGTACTGGCAGACCAAGGGTGACCACAAGACGACAAGACCGCCATTTTGTGCGACAGCATGTACAGAATCCCTTTATGCAGGCACCCGAAACAGCACGCCAGACAGTGGGAACACACGGAAGACCAATCAGTACTGATACAGTACGCCGACGTCTTAACAGCGGGAACCTCCATTGCCGTAGGCCTGACCTTACCGTGGACCTATCCTCACCCCTCGTCATCGGCCTGTACGTCTACAGTTTGCCCTACAACACCAAAACTGGCGATACAGGCAATGGAGAACTATTCTGTTCAAAGATGAGAGTCGGTACTGCGTATCAACTGCAGGTGGCAGAACAAGAATATGGCGACGACGTGGCCAGCGTTACTCAGACCAATGTGTTCTGGAAATAGACTCATAGGGAGGTGCAAGCAACATGGTATGGGGTGGAATAGGCCTGAACCAGAGAGTGGGTCCTGTGGCGTTCCAGAACCTTGGTCCCTTCCTAGGAAGAGGAGGCGGCATCACAGCAGTTGTGCTACATCTACCAAACTCTCAGACCCCACGTCATACCACATTTCGCACGTCACCGGAACAACATTTTCCAGCATGATAACACCCGGGCCATACTGCCAGAGATACACGGAACTTCTTACAGCAGAACGGTGTCAACATTATGCAGTGGCCACTCCATGCATAGACGCTGTGCTGCAGTTATTGCCGCTCGAAATCAAGAGTCTGGATGGACTGCAAACGTTCACGTAATGTCTTGAGTTATTCATTGACGTGTCAAGATATTGTACACAGAAAATGGTTTTGATCCGCTTATCATGTCCATTTCTGTAATGATTTGATTACAGTGCCTATCTAAATTTGAATTCGCACTGACGTTTTTTTGCTGCTGAGTATACATACGCTTATGCATACACATAAGACTTTCGCTTAGAAAGAATATAATGACTGGTTTTGACAGCAATAAACCACACATTAGGGCTGGATAAGATATAATATAGCTTTTGATTGTTTAAAGTAGACCAATTGTTTGAAAGACTATGAAGGAAAAGAATAACAAAAGGCAAGTTAATGTGCACACAGAGTAAACTACTGCTATAACCAACCCAAGGGTACCACTTATTGCAGTTTGTTATGACGGTAGTTAGATATAAGCATCTTGAGTAAACTATACATCAAATGGCCGGTGCCAAACACATGTCCCTTAGTTCGTTTCAAGCCTGCTCGTTATTGAGGTTAACGTAATTTACTGTACGAGTATATCATTAGAGTCTTATCATAATGTGTAAAACTCCTCGGCCATGTCATCCCGTTACGTCGGTGTTAGCCCGAGGTAGGGTCGGCGTGGTCTGGTACCATATTCTGCTATCTCATGTCTGTCGACCGAGTCTGTCTCTGAGTCTGAGTAACGTGTCGGTTTTGAAGCTGGTCCTGACGTGGCGGACTTGAGTGAGTGTGGTCATCGGTGGTCTCCTGCCTCGTGTCTGTCCTATCGGCTGTAAACGTTGCGCAGCCTGGCTTTGGTGACTCGGGTGCACATAAAGGGACGCAATGGCTGATTGTATGGCTCCTCGTTACGCCTTACTAACGCTTCTCTCCCTCTAGTCAAAGTCAAGTCAAAGATATTTATTGTACTTAAGGCCTCCGGCCCATATACAAGGAATACAAGTATATATACAGCACATGTTACAGACATTTCACAAAGAAATTACAGTTCAGATATGATATTGCTTCTAAGGAAAACAGCATGTTTTACATAAAGCGCAAGATTACGTATTACATTTTCTATATAACTGATGATGTGGTATGTTCTTCGTGTTCAGATCTGTATTGCCCCCGTTTCACAAAACAACCTCAGCGCCATGACGATCTTAGCTTCACAATCTTATCTCAAGAGCAAACCGAAAGGCTCGTGACACCATAGAAATTGCTGTGTGTATATAACGTGAATATGAACTCTTGGGAGACATAGGACCGAGTAACAACTGTATCTGTTTTCGAGAAGTCATCTTGAGGATTTGCCCGTAGTGAGAGAAATGAAAGAAACGGATAGGTTACGTACGTGCATAAACATTGCTGGAACCTTATGATATGGCATGACATGGAACAGTAACTAATCTGGGTGATTCACTCACAACTGAGGTCATGATGTTGATCTATATGAGGACTAATATATTTAAGCGTGGCACGACTGGCCTTGTAAGAAACATATCAACATGAGTCATTGTAATATGTCACGGAACGTGCGAACGTCAGGTGACAAGCGGCACTGGAAGTCTGTTAATGTGTATATTTCACAGACAATCACAATATGTTTCAGGACATAAACTATACACAGCAGCAACAACGATCCAATGCGATTCCACGATCCCCATCTCACCCAATCTGTTCAAGGGACATATTCCAACCTGAAAACCTATTACATAGCTATGAACAGTTGCATTTACAAACTCGGTTACAGTCGTACAGGCAGCTTATGTGTAGGAGCCATTGCTGAGGCTGGCGGGTAAAATATAAGTAACAAAACTCTGTCCACATCCAAAGGAAAATTATACTAAATCAGAGTGTAACTATATGAGCATGTGTTAATACATAACTATCAAATAGTGACGATACCAGGTGTGATGATACCATGAGCACGTGTTAATACATAACTATCAAATAGTGACGATACCAGGTGTGATGATTCTATGAGCATGTGTTAATACATAACTATCAAATAGTGACGATACCAGGTGTGATGATACCATGAGCATGTGTTAATACATAACTATCAAATAGTGACGATACCAGGTGTGATGATACCATGAGCATGTGTTAATACATAACTATCAAATAGTGACGATACCAGGTGTGATGATACCATGAGCATGTGTTAATACATAACTATCAAATAGTGACGATACCAGATGTGATGATACCATGAGCATGTGTTAATACATAACTATCAAATAGTGACGATACCAGGTGTGATGATACCATGAGCATGTGTTAATACATAACTATCAAAAGTGACGATATCAGGTGTGATGATAACATGAGCATGTGTTAATACATAACTATCAAATAGTGACGATACCAGGTGTGATGATACCATGAGCATGTGTTAATACATAACTATCAAATAGTGACGATACCAGGTGTGATGATACCATGAGCATGTGTTAATACATAACTATCAAATAGTGACGATACCAGGTGTGATGATACCATGAGCATGTGTTAATACATAACTATCAAATAGTGACGATACCAGGTGTGATGATACCATGAGCATGTGTTAATACATAACTATCAAATAGTGACGATATCAGGTGTGATGATACCATGAGCATGTGTTAATACATAACTATCAAATAGTGACGATACCAGGTGTGATGATACCATGAGCATGTGTTAATACATAACTATCAAATAGTGACGATACCAGGTGTGATGATACCATGAGCATGTGTTAATACATAACTATCAAATAGTGACGATACCAGGTGTGATGATACCATGAGCATGTGTTAATACATAACTATCAAATAGTGACGATACCAGGTGTGATGATACCATGAGCATGTGTTAATACATAACTATCAAATAGTGACAATACCAGGTGTGATGATACCATGAGCATGTGTTAATACATAACTATCAAATAGTGACGATACCAGGTGTGATGATACCATGAGCATGTGTCAATGTATAACTATCAAATAGTGACGATACCAGGTGTGATGATACCATGAGCATGTGTTAATACATAACTATCAAATAGTGACGATACCAGGTGTGATGATACCATGAGCATGTGTTAATACATAACTATCAAATAGTGACGATACCAGGTGTGATGATACCATGAGCGCGTGTTAATACATAACTATCAAATAGTGACGATACCAGATGTGATGATACCATGATCAAGTGTTAATACATAACTATCAAATAGTGACGATACCAGGTGTGATGATACCATGAGCATGTGTTAATGGACAACTATCAAATAGTGACGATACCAGGTGTGATTGTTGTCTCATGCGTCAAGTTTGGAATTGTCCTCCACACATCCACCATAAATCTTTTTGGAAGCTTTACTCTCTTGAATTTTGTAACCTTGACCAAACAGCTTGTGATCAAAAGATAAATGAAATCATATTGAAATGTATCCTAGACTGTACCTCGTTAGTTGGGAAATTGAAACTCGAAAGCTTGGACATAAATTAAAGGGAAGGTTGAATGTTAGAAAGTTGTGATCAGACCTCTTGTGCTCAAGAGTCGTAGAATACCAGAGGAAGATGGCTTTATGTCAAAGTAGGATCTGACGGGATTTTGTCAAATTATGATCTGACGCAGATGGGTAGTAGTCATAGTAGCATAGTAGCTGCAGATGGGTAGTAGTCATGGTAGCAGCTGATGGGTAGTAGTCATAGTAGCAGCTGATAGGTAGTAGTCATGGTAGCAGCTGATGGGTAGTAGCCATAGTAGCAGCTGATGGGTAGTAGTCATGGTAGCAGCTGATGGGTAGAAAACATGATAGAAGCTGATGGGTAGTAGTCAAAGTAGCAGCTGATGGGTAGTAGTCATGGTCGCAGCTGATAGGTAGTAGTCAAAGTAGCAGCTGATGGGTAGTAGTCATGGTAGCAGCTGATGGGTAGTAGTCATGGTAGCACCTGGTGGGTAGTAGTCATGGTTGCAGCTGATGGGTAGTAGTCATAGTAACAGCTATGGGGAGTGATGGTAGCAGTTGATCGGTGGTAGGTATAGTAGCATGGTAGTTGCAGATGGGTAGTAGTCATGGTAGCAGCTGATGGGTAGTAGTCATGATAGCTAGTTGTTGCAGATAGGTAGTAGTCATGGTAGCAGCTGATGGGTAGTAGTCATGATAGCAGCTGATAGGTAGAAGTCATAGTAGCATAATAGTTGCAGATGGGTAGTAGTCATAGTAGCAGCTGAACCGCCTATCAATGAGTGAGTGGGTATGGTTTAATATAGCTTTTAGCAGTATTCCAGCAATATCATGGCGGGTTACACCAGAAATGGGCTTCTCACATTGTATATACGGGAATCAAACCCAGGCATTCTGCGTGACAAGCGAACGCTTTAACCACTGGGCTACCCCGAAGCGTCAACAAGATTTACTTCATTGCACCAAACAATATATCACACATTTCAGTTTCCCTCTGCATTTATTAGTATAAATATCTTAACATGACAATCTATAATACTCATTTGTACAGCCGGACACAGACAGATCGAGGTATCTCTGGGTCGACGACTATGAATGTGAACTCAGTTTGGCGTAATACAAGTTAAGAGTATTTAACAAATATACTACTTTGGTTGCTGCACCGGTGTCACGTCATCGAAAACTCTGGCCATCACTTTCGTCACGGTGCTACTAACAGTTAATAGTATGATCATAACTAGTGGGTGGGAGCCATGTGAGCGACAGGATCAGTACCCCTCCCCGTCTCTCGCACTCCCGGGTTTCGGTGAAGACATATACATCTTAACTATTAAAAGGATTCTGTAACGTTTTTACCGAAAGTGAAACGAGCAAACCACCTGGTTGCATGTCAACAACTACAAAGCAATTGTCGCATGTCCTAAATTCAGTGTTAATGAATCCATATCGTTGCCAGCTACCATAGCATACCGTATGGTTGTCATCAGATGTGAAACATCAACAAAGATCAGCAGCAGAGATACCATTGCTCCCATTTTAAGTGGACTCACCCACGCATGCACATGATATAAGAGGGACCCACAAGTTCATTAAGCCAGAAACGAAATTGTGTATTTGGACAATTGCAGTCATGTTGCTAGGACTTGCAATTTGCATCTCTGTTGGTAAGGTCACAGTTGTTTTATTTTGCCATTATTCAAACATTAATTAATGAGGAGTCAGTGTACGATTATTGTAAGGTGACTATAGCGGGAACACTGTGTTGAGTGAAAGAATATATTTATAGCCTAATATGATAAGGAGACAAGTTGAAATAGTTAAGATACGATAAGATCATTTCTTTACTATCCCACGGGAAATGTGTTTTGCATAATATGCAGTTCTCCAGTTTTTCTTTCAGAAGGCAGACATATGTAACATTGCAAATGATAATCATAAACAGTTACTAGTGTTTATAATAATCAGGATATAAATACATCAATTTAGTACACAAACTTTGATACTGACTAGAATTTGGACAGTTGGAAGACAAGCTGTTCATAGAATGTGTTGTTTATACACCTAATACTGGCTGGAACAAATGAGTGGCGATTTCTGTATGTTCTGAAAGTCGGCATACGCAGCCTGCGTCCAGAAGGTAATGGTGAATATGTCGAAAAAAGTATGTGAGTAGGATCAATTTTGTTTGCCTTTTTTCAAATTTGCTGCTCATAACAACTGCTGATAGGAAGCCCAATAATTTTAGACGCAGTATTTACGACTTTTGAGAGTTTGTTTTTATTCTGGACAGACAGGTTCCCGAACCAACTCAAGAAATTAAAGGTTATGACACTTTGAATAAAGGTTTTGTAAAATCACATCATGATAGTTTGGTCGATTTTAAAATGTTTCAACTTCCACAAAAAATGCAAGCGTTGTTGTCCTTTCTTATCTATTTTCTCTGTGTTTTCGTTCCAGGAGAGTTCTGAATCTAAGACAGTGCCCAAATATTTGTATTCAGTTACTCTTTCTATTTCAATGTCTTCAATACTTACAGCATTTATTGTTGACTTAACTTTTCTAAAATCTATGATCGTTACTTTTGCACATTCAAAAATAAAAAGTCTGATGTACACCATTCTACAAATTTTGAAATTTCAGCTAATGTAACTAAGTTCTGATTCCCTAACAAGGCCTACCAATGCAGCTTCATCAGCGAATTTAACTGTAAAACATGTTTCTGTGTTGGATACACTGTCATTGGTGTACAATATAAACAAAATTGGTGAAATAACGCAACCTTGTGGAGCGCCAGTTGATGTGTTTACAATTGATGATTTCACCTTATTAACCTGGACAAATTGTTGTGTGTTAACTGGAAATGAATTAATCCATTTGATGATGTTAGAATTAACATTAATTCTGAAAAGTTTATCAATTAATAAAATGAGGTTGAATAGTATTAATGGTAGATGAAAAAAATCCACAAACATTATTCTCACATAAGTACCATAGTTTTCTAAATGCTTATAGATATTGTTTAATAGAGTGATTGTTGCATCATCTACCCCACGCCTTGCTCTGTATGCAAATTGTAATGGGTCAAGAACATGGCTGACTTCATTCAACACAAGGTATTAACAATGCGTTTTGAACATTTCATGGTAAAAGAGGTTAGGGCCAGTGGTCTGAAGTCATTATTAACAGACGGATTTTTCTTGTTTGGCAATGGAACAATTTTAGAGGTTTTCCAAAGAATGGGAACATTATGAGAATTCATTATTTCTGAAATAGCGTTTGAAAACAAATAACAGCCAGTTGCACTCTACATTCCTTAAGAACAATCCCAAACAAGTTTTCAGGCCCACAGCATTTATGTGGATTTATCTTAGCGAATGAATTAATCACATCATCTGTCGATATATTTAACATTTCACTAGGTGGAAGCGATTCCAATAAAAGTTGCCTTTCATCTGAAACATTTCCAGCATCAAATCGGGATTGGAAGGAGTTTAAATCATTTGAAAAAGATATGTCGTCGCTGGATTCCAACTGTCGAGGCCTAATAGTTGATCCAATGATAGTTTTTATGCCACTCCATGCATTACGTAAATTGTTTACAGACAATTGTCTTTCAATCTTTGTTTTGTATTCATCTTTACACTTCCTTGTGAAACAAGCAATCTCTTTCTGAATCTCTTTAACCTTGACCTTGCCCCCTGCACAAAAAGCCCTTTTCTTTTCACTTAAAACTGATTTGAACTCTTTAGTTACCCAAGGCTTGTTATTAGGTAATATTTTAATACATTTGACTGGCACAATGTTTTCTACACAGACATTTATATGATCAGTTAAAGTATTTGTAAACATATTCAAATTATCACTAGTATGTTCAAACATATTGTACAATCAAAACATCTTCTCAACTGCTCTCAACAATCTTTTGTACATGACTTTACATATTTTAAGACTGGCTTCTCTGAATTAAATTTTTGACGATACAAAGGAACTAAATAATCAGCATTGTGATCAGAAGTCCCCATCGGAGACTTTGCAAAAGTCTTTCACACCACCATAGCTATAGTTTTTCTAGATCTTGTCGGACACTTCACATACTGATGGTATGATGGCAGAACATGTTTTAAGTCACCTGCATTGAAATCTCTGAGTATGAATATTGGTGCCTCTGGTGAAAAATCATTAAGTTTGTCCATAGTGGTGTGAATAGTGTCAGCCGCTAGTTTCACATTGGCATCCGGCGGAACACATACAGTGGTCACAAAAACTTGTCCAAATTCTCTAGGAAGATAATATGACCTGAGTGAAACTCACAAAAGTCCTTGTTGCAGATAGATTCTCGAACCACGTGTTGCTCGCACCAGCGTTCGTTTACATAAATACACACACCTGCTCCAACACGTTTCCTGGTACTTGCCGCATCTCTATCCAGCCGCATCGGCGATCCGAATCCACTGAGTTCCAAACTTGTGTTGTCCACAGTTTCGTTCAACCATGTCTCCGTAAAGCACAGGAGACAGATTTCTCGAAACTCATACACATACTTTACACAAGCCTCAATTTCATTTATTTGGCGACGTAGACTTCTGACATTTGACAATGATTGTTGGGAGAGAGGGTCTGTCCTCACCTTTTGTCGAAGCCCCCCTCTCTTTCCTCGCTTGGGCTTGGAAGTGTTATTTCCTTTATCACTATTATTATTGTTGCATGAACATTCCGGTAGCAGGTCAATTTTCAAATGACTTACATCATTGAATCCTTGGAATTGAATAAGCTGGTCCCCCCTAAAGCGAGTCGCGTCGTAACGGCCGGAACGGCCATGTTGATTGTCAAAGACGCCACTGGTCGCTACGGAAGTAATCTGTTGCAAAAAACAGGTTACTGCCAGTGCGACGCAACTCCATTTCCGCTTACATCTTCTCCGTGGTTAGTACTTCAAAACTGTATCCGTTTATGATGATGACTCATCCGAGACAATAACACAGTCTTTCTTCTGGCATGGAGAGCTGTAACCATGCGTGTCGCTACGGTGCAGCGCCATCTATGTTTATCTATCTATATCTATATCTATATCTATCTATCATCTATATCTATAGCTCGTGAGCATAATTAGACAAATGTTATTACAAAATGTCAGAGTGAGTGAGTTAATATTTAACGTCACATCGGCAATATTTCAGCCATATAGTGACGAGAACAATTACGGATTATATCATATATCAATAAAATTAGAAATTAAAACCTGTTGACGAAGAACAGTAAAACTACTAGTGTATCATAGATAGCCATTTAAAACTAGTAATTAAATCTGAAAAATGTTAATTAGAAATGACAAGACAATGTAAAAACCGGCTATAGATTGCCAACAACTGAAGGTAGATCACCATACTAGGGACAATGCTTCCTGCATGGACCCTAGCTGGATTTACACCATCCCTTCAGCCGTTAGCAGTTTAGACACATTTAGCCATACATTAAAAACACACATATTTTACGATTAGAAAGGTTGGATAGATTTAAATTGACTTTGAATGTTTTGGGACTTACATACCCTCTCAGGGGGACAATAATTTTACAATACTTCAACCCCCTTTGAGGGTACAGCCACTAAAAATCTCAGTTACTAATCTAAACTACCAATTATAAAATATTTATCTATTTACAAATCATTTAATGAATCTAATTCTTTTAAAATGCAATAATTAAATGAGAACTTATATTATTAAAAAGATCCTCCATAGTTCGTGATTTGAAATAGTTATCCCTTGTGATGGAATATTCAACACGGTCAAGCAGAACATGCTTGACCGTGATTCTTTCATCACAAGGGATGCAAAACGGAGGATCCTCACCTTTCAATAGGTATATCTTGTGAGGCCATTACGACATCGTTGCATGATGACCCCTTCAAATCTGGACTGACAACCCAAGTAGGTGTAACCAATATACGGTTTTATTGCATATAATTTATTAATACCTACTTGAGTGTCCCACTTCTTCTGCATCAGATCACGAATATAAGATCTAATGGTAGCTTGTAATCAGAGTACGGGATAAGAAGTGGTGTCACAGATTTGTTAAGTGCTGCCTTGGCAGTAAGATCGGCCATTGTGTTCCCAGAAATGCCAACGTGGTAACCAACAGAGGACGATGTCGTATTGGCCAGTAGCAAGATCATTATACAATTCAATAATTTCTATTAAAAGTGGATGTTTGCAAGAAAGATTTTTAATCGCCTGAAGGCAAGAAATAGAGTCAGATGTATTGTTATATTTAGGGTGTGTATTAATATATTTTAAGACTGTCAATATGGCGTTAGCGTCCGCTGTGAAAATAAAGCTGTTATCAGGCAATCGAGAAGATATTGTTCTGGATCCAATGACAGTGGCACAAGCTACAGCGCCAACATCCTTGGATCCATCTGTAAATAAGGATTTACATGTATTATATTTATTTCTTATTTGACTAAATTTTTGTTTATACTGCAATTCATTAGTTTCTGATTTTGTAAATGTGGTCAATGTTAGGTCAACTTTGGGCCTAACCAACTGCCAAGGAGGAGAAGAAAGAAGACGGGAAGGAGACATATAACAAAATGTCAAACTGTTATGCTGTTAGGTCGCAATACGTCTTACAATATCAGACTCTTATGTTGTTAGGTCTCAATACGTCTTACAATATCAGACTCTTATGTTGTTAGGCTCAATACGTCTTACAATATCAGACTGTTGTGTTGTTAGGCTCAATACGTCTTACAATATCAGACTGTTGTGTTGTTAGGTCTCAATACGTCTTACAATATCAGACTCTTGTGTTGTTAGGTCTCAATACGTCTTACAATATCAGACTCTTATGTTGTTAGGCTCAATACGTCTTACAATATCAGACTCTTATGCTGTTAGGTCGCAATACGTCTTACAATATCAGACTCTTATGTTGTTAGGTCTCAATACGTCTTACAATATCAGACTCTTATGTTGTTAGGCTCAATACGTCTTACAATATCAGACTGTTGTGTTGTTAGGTCTCAATACGTCTTACAATATCAGACTGTTGTGTTGTTAGGTCTCAATACGTCTTACAATATCAGACTCTTGTGTTGTTAGGTCTCAATACGTCTTACAATATCAGACTCTTATGTTGTTAGGCTCAATACGTCTTACAATATCAGACTGTTGTGTTGTTATGTCTCAATACGTCTCACAATATCAGACTCTTATGTTGTAAGGTCTCAATACGTCTTACAATATCAGACTGTTGTGTTGTTAGGTCTCAATACGTCTTACAATATCAGACTCTTATGTTGTTAGGTCTCAATACGTCTTACAATATCAGACTCTTATGTTGTTAGGTTTCAATAAGTCTTACAATATCAGACTCTTATGTTGTTAGGTTTCAATAAGTCTTACAATATCAGACTGTTGTGTTGTTATAGGTCTCAATACGTCTTACAATATCAGACTCTTATGTTGTAAGGTTTCAATAAGTCTTACAATATCAGACTCTTATGTTGTTAGGCTCAATACGTCTTACAATATCAGACTGTTGTGTTGTTATGTCTCAATACGTCTCACAATATCAGACTCTTATGTTGTAAGGTCTCAATACGTCTTACAATATCAGACTGTTGTGTTGTTATAGGTCTCAATACGCCTTACAATATCAGACTCTTATGTTGTTAGTTCGCAATACGTCTTACAATATGAGACTGTTGTGTTGTTATTGGTCTCAATACGTCTTACAATATCAGACTCTTATGTTGTTAGGTCGGTCGCAATACGTCTTACAATGTCAGACTGTTATGTTGTTAGGTTGCAATACGTCTTACAATGTCAGACTGTTATGTTGTTAGGTCGCAATACGTCTTACGATATCAGACTCTTATGTTGTTAGGTCGCAGGTCGCCTCTGATAAGGGACAGTATAGGGCTATTGGTACGACAAAACCGGTATTTGTAGTACATACAGGAAGAAGCACTGGGTAATGTGCCTATAGTCTCTGGTTTAGTGTCTGTTGGACGTCATTTGCATGCTACATGTGAACCATGCCTCTTGTATAAAGATAACGCCTGTGTGTTTCAGCCTGCACTGTGGAGAGTGTGACTTACAGTCAGGGGCCCGAGGACATCGTGTCCATCACGCATGACAAGAACGTCAATCTGACCGGGTGCTCAGCGATGGTGTTATCTTTGGATACGTGTGGCGAAAGTTACTTCTTCCTGTCTTCTGTGTACAGTTACACAGTCCCGTACTTTACAATAACTCTCCCGGGACAAGGGAAAACCACATATGCAATAAGTTATGCAACGGAAGCCCTTGGCAGCGGGTCAGCTGGTATCTCTATGTGTGGGAGAGGACAATGGTTTTGGGCGTCATGGGAAAATCGGATGATCACATTTGGATTGGGGTTACAGGTAGGTGAGGACGAGATTCTGCGGGCAGACACAAAGGATGTTGACCCAATCACATTCTCAGGAATCAGGACTTTGTCACAGGCTTCTATAAGTGTTGGTAAGTAGTAAACGTGCGTCTTCTTCTAAGTGAGAGATTGGTGTGTATGTGGAATGTCGATTGCGATATACATGTAGAAGGGATCGGGCATCTCTTTGGATTTTCATGAATGGCTGCTGAGATACCTTTTCTGGTTTTGATTCCAAGTTTGTCGGAATGGTTTATCGCACTTGCGTGTGACAGCGGCTGCCTTCATCCTCCTTTCTTGCGAGGAATACAGGTAAGTGAGAACGCATGATTTTCATGAGCGATGGTCACGATATGTGTAAGTCAGAATGGATTGTTGCTTGTTTTTCTCAACTGGTGGTCACGATGCAGATATGTACTAAGTATCTAGATTTGCTTAATATCTGGTTACGATTTACATATGTATCTAGATTTTTTTGAGGTAGTGATTACGATGAGGCAAGTTGGATAGTCGTCGTGACAAGTGGTTTAAAGATACACATATTGGTGAAGGTGGTTAGGTGTCCGGTGTTCAATATACTTCTGTGGTAGCACTTCATATTGGTGAGCCACGTTTTTATGTTTGTTTTTACAGAGAAGAGCGAATGTGTGTCTGATACCACCACCACCACCACAACTACAACCACTACAACCACTACAACCACTCCCACCACAACAACAGTGATCTCTACGACTACTTCCTCAGGTATCAGGATGACCTACGGCTCCTCGGTTTGCTTCGTAGGGAGGAGTCCCCCAGGGATGCCAGATATTGTTTATCGTCGGTCGAGTTCACGTTCCCCCTGACTATATCCAGGTTTAGCACACCATATCGTTGCACGAAAGTGGTAAAAGTTCAAGAGCTACGTTACCTTGGACCTTCCTAGCAGACAACCCCACCCCATCTCTGAGATGAGATGAGATGAGATGAGATGAGATGAGATGAGATGAGATGAGATGAGATGAGATGAGATGAGATGAGATGAGATGAGATGAGATGAGATGAGATGAGATGAGATGAGATGAGATGAGATGAGATGAGAGAGAGAGAGAGAGAGAGAGAGAGAGAGAGAGAGAGAGAGAGAGATAGATAGATAGATAGATAGATAGATAGATAGATAGATAGATAGATAGATAGATGAAGAATGTGTTGTAAATAAAAACATACGTTTTCTTCTCGTATAGCCAACTCCAATTTGGGAAGAATAGATGAGCCAAGTGCTGTCGAGGAAGAAGCCAAATCCAATTTGAGGACAAAAGACGAACCAAGTGCTGTCGAGGAAGAAACGTCAGGTGTTGTCGACAAAGACGTGACGGGTGTGGCTGGAGCTAACGTGACGGAAGTGGACTTGGTCAACACAACTGATGTTGCCCAGATGGACTCTGGATGTAGCCCGGGCGTCCTCGTCAGCGGCCTACTGCTGGTCACAACACTTGCACCCCTCATGTGACATACCAAGTCCCCCAACCAACCACGGGGCTATAACCAGATAACCAGACCTGCGGGTGTAAATCAAGAGAACCATTGACACAAATCCGTGTCATAAACAACATATACAAATGCAAGTTCATTTTCTGTTAAATACATTTTAAGCTCACACTGACAGTGTTTGTTTTCTTGCCACATATTACTCACCTTTTTCAACATAATACACCTCTGTTTCAAAACAGAATATAATATCATCAGGTACCGGGGGGATTATGTTTGGCGACTGGGGGAGTCAGTAGCAATGGGCAAATCCGGATAGAGACCTTTCGTTCACAAAACACCAAAGATTCACAGACACACGTTGTTCCATCCGTCGGTGCGCTATTGCAGCTTCCTAAGATCAACCACTGGAACAAATGCGGAGAGAGTGTACAACTCAGACATATTGTACATACAACGATTTCGAAGTCATTCACTTTCCCTGGCAAAATTACATCTTAACGTGAGCAAGAATGTTACCAGAATTGACAATTTCCGCGTGGCTACGTAAATACTACGCAGAGCTACTTGTGATATTTGTGAAATACATGTAAATTGGGCCTTTTGGGAACTTATAAATTTGATCGTCGGCACAACAAATACTGTGCAAAGAAGGTGAAAGTACATTCATCATAAAGCACATTTTAACCTGTGGCATAGAACCCTTAGATTCAAGCTTACGCTATACCTGAGCGTTGTTTCTCACGTTGTCAGTAGACAATATGTTTAGTTTAGGAGACTGAGCTGACCATCCCAGGACATTCATGTCATTATCTCGTGAATAGGCATAGGAAGAAGAGTCATCTTGAAAGGATGAAGTTACGATATGTGAAGTGTCCGCTTTTACCAGGCAAACTTTGATATCAACCGTATGAACATGTTGTAGAGTACTTATGCACCCATCGACAGGTAGTTCCAGCTCTGTGAAATGTATTTCAGTTCCACACAAAACAACACACTTGTTGTTCTGAGAGCAGCACCATCACCTCGGTGGAAACAGTCTGTCCACGGTCAACACCATCACCTTCCTAACTACTCGCCTGTAAAATCCTTGATAATACGCTCAGCAGACGCTTAGTTTCCCTTCTCATTCACACATAACTGTCACACAGGTTCTGTCTGTTATTCCAGATGTGTCGAAGGCTATAGTTCGCTATCGATATCGCAAGGATTTTCTGTTATGATAAATCTGCTATCCAGTCATAGATATGTCAGAAAAGTATGCCGTTAACTCATCTACGATACTTACCGACTGCGAAGACACCTGGTCTCAATTGGATTTTGTAGTGGGTTACCTTTTATGAGCGTGTCAAACACTTACGCCAGCCATTTAAAATCCCGGGTGTAGTCATAAGGGGAAAACAGCAGAGTGAAGTGTGGTGGTGGTGGTGGTTGACGCGAAATGGATGGAGATGCAACTCAGTGAACGTCAAAACACATCAGGATTAAGCGGAAATATAGATGCTTGTTGCAAAATACGTCAGCAATTCCTCATCCGTTACAACCATCTGTGTCTTGTGTGTAGTATATCCACGGTTACCGAGAACGTGTCAGTCTACAAAAGTATCATTTATACAACTTTGGAAGTCAATATTCAATACATTCTCATGAAAAACAGTTCCACAACATCCCATACTTTTCATTTATCAATATGTTACCATTAATCGTAGCAAAGGAACTTATCCAAACCTCTGTTTAACTTAATATCTGGACAAATTGTCCGTCAGGGAATAATCGAATGGCAATACTGAACGTAAAAGAACGGAAAACTGGAGTATATTCATAGCAAACCTAACGAAAACTTGACTCATTCTGTAGTGCTAATAACTATGGTCGTGTGACGTTAACAAGTGCAGTCATTTTCCAAATCCTGGCACACAATCCTGAAGCATTACCTAAGTGTTAATAACAGATCACAATGTCAGCATCTGGTGTAACCTGCGCCAACTGCAAAAACTGACACTCCTCCTCACTGACTGTATCAGACGCTGAATCTGACGTTGAGGTATTGCTTCCATTCTCCATGGAGGGTTTGTCCCAATACATCAAGATTCCGTACTGGAGGAACTCTCTGGCGTATTCTGAGACCCATAAAGTTCCAAACATAGTCTATGGGATTGAGATCTGGACTTCGGGCGGGCCTTGTGTTTGCATGCAACGTTGTCCATTCAGATTTTGTCGGATCATCACAAGGTCAAGTTTAGAGTCATATTGCACGACGTCACACCATCAATGAACCCCCGTCAACTTGCCCCAAGATATTCCGGTGTTGATATGCAGTGTTGCTGCGGCAGCAAACGCGAGCTCGGCCATCAGTCATGAACCAATCATCAACTTTCGTCTGACTAGTGGACCCTTTCCCATGACCTCAAATTTCAGTGACGTCAAGTTTAACACTAACTTTGTTGTGCCGCTTTGTGCTCTGGTGACAGCAATGGTTCTATACCCGGCCGGGTTATAGGCGATTTCTGACCGTTCTGTTGGACAAACGACGATGTTTTTAACACGCCACTTGACATGAACGGATGACGTATGTTGATGAAGGGCTATATCATCGCAAGGAGATGTAACTCGTGTTGGACCAGAACGCTGACGGTCCTTGACGCCCATTGCTGGTGTTTTCTGACCAAGCCACAGATCTTTGAACAGTTGACTGTTGGGTGGGTTCCATATTTTCTTATCAACAAAGAAATCAATTGATTTATCGAAAAGTAATCGAGAACAGCTTACTGACACTTGTTCGTAGCACTTGGTCGCATTCATCGACTATAAATGTTCTTTTCGCTTTCTATACTAAGGGCGTCTTTTTCTAACGTTGAAGTTAGATGTAATCGCACTCGTGAGATACCGTTTTATTACATATGTAAAGTATATATACAGTACACTCACTGTATTCCAAAATGGTATTAACAGGAACTCGTTTAATGTACCTCTATATTTACTCAACATATACCATTGGGATACGTTGTTACGTATGTTTCAAGTTGTTCTGTCAGATGTATTTGCCAAGTGGATTGCCAGATGTTATCCTCCAATACTGTGAACTGTTAAGACAGTTTTTTGACGTTCACGTGGAATTAGCAGTTGTTTCCTTCGCGTATTCCGGGGCAGTGTAACGTCGCCGTTTCCAGACACGTCAGTAGATGTATTCCGGGGCAGTGGTAACGTCGCCGTTTCCAGACACGTCAGTAGATGTATTCCGGGGCAGTGTCACGTAACCGTTTCCAGACACGTCAGTAGATGTATTCCGTGGCAGTGTACCGTCGCCGTTTCCAGACACGTCAGTAGACGTATTCCGTGGCAGTGTACCGTCGCCGTTTCCAGACACGTCAGTAGACGTATTCCGGGGCAGTGTACCGTCGCTGTTTCCAGACACGTCAGTAGACGTATTCCGTGGCAGTGTAACGTTGCTGTTTCCAGACACGTCAGTAGACGTATTCCGTGGCAGTGTAACGTCGCTGTTTCCAGACACGTCAGTAGACGTATTCCGGGGCAGTGTAACGTCGCCGTTTTCAGACACGTCAGTAGACGTATTCCGGGACAGTGTACCGTCGCTGTTTCCAAACACGTCAGTAGACGTATTCCGGGGCAGTGTAACATCGCTGTTTCCAGACACGTCAGTAGACGTATTTCGGGGCAGTGTAACGTCGCTGTTTCCAGACACGTCAGTAGACGTATTCCGGGGCAGTGTAACGTCGCTGTTTCCAGACACGTCAGTAGACGTATTCCGGGGCAGTGTAACGTCGCTGTTTCCAGACACGTCAGTAGTGAGTGAGTGAGTTGAAATTTAAAGTCACATCGGCAATATTTCATCCATATCGTGACACCTCAGTAGACGTATTCCGGGGCAGTGTAGCGTCGCTTCTTGTAACACGTAAGTGAAAGATGATTTCTCAAGCGTTGTGTACGAATGAAACTAGTGTGTGCTTTGTCTTGAATGTTATAAAGAACATGGCTATAACAACGTGCAGTGTATCAGTGCCACAGCCAAAGGTTGTAATCTCGTTCAAAGAGCATTTATACTCGTACGTTGAGAAACCAGCAGCTTCTGTTGTAATTGTAGATATGGTATTAAGATTTATACCTAATTTACAAGTCAGAATTAAATGTCCTTAAGTCCTTAATGAACTATTGCAGCATTTTACCATAATAATGCGCGCTAAAGGGGCGGAGAGTAATTTCCCGTTTATAACCTGTTGCTATCGCCATGGCAACCGGGAAAACTGTAAGATAACTCTAATCGAGGTAAACACTATATGAACAAGATCATGTATTAAAAGCGTGGTTTTAACATGTTTATATACCCCAACGACGGTTTATATATTTCATACATGTCAGTCTCAAGGACACAAAGCCATGAGCACGGTTCTACAACTATCACCCTTCCTCCCTTCATAACCATCATAACATTGTGTGATGTCACTTAATATGGTATTGTTTTCATACTTCAACATGATATATCATTTGATCAGATTACTGTTCTAGGATCAAGAGTACCTCTGAAATGTCAATTGGTGCACGTTGCTGTCTGTAAATGCCTGGAGACATGTAAGATACATGAGAAAGACTTATCTATATAGATAGTTAGGACAAACAGCCATATCTGGTAGCATAGTCTGTCTAAGGCAAGGTAATAAGCAGGGCCGCGATGAATGACAGTCGTTTGACAAGGCATCTGTTCCCTGACATAAAACTATTCTCAGTCCGAACATACTGATACCACGTGTATGGAGTATATATATTTGGTTGTAATGTTTTTACAACTAGTATGCATGTTTAAGGTTGTCACATGAGTCTAATTAATCATTGATTTGTCTGAAAATATTTATTTATAACCAAGCCCGAAGACATTACATGATGTCTTAGAGGTATCCCCGCAAACAGCTGCGAAAATTGTTTCACTGTGACAACACCATCGAAGAAGATAGTAATGCAACACCAAGAAAGGATGCCCTCTCCGTAATTGTCTTCAGAAATGATCCCGAGATTCCACGACGTGGTGATGACTGGCCGGCGAATGACTGAGGGTCATGTTGCTAGCTCAGTTGGCATTTCCCAGGAGAGAGCACATTCCATTAACACTGACACTTAGGCAATGAAGAATGTAACAGCCTGTTGGGTTACATAGCTTCTGACATCTGAACAAAAACTGCACAAGGCACACTTTAGCTCTGTTTGAAACTGATGTAATTGAAAGGTTCCTGCAAAAGACTTGTGACTATGAATGAAACCTGGATTCACCACAACCAGTCCAAACAACAATCACATCTAAAGCGTTTGAAAGCACTAACATCAAAGGAGGCACGTGTTGGGGTCTTCATGTTTGCAGATTGCGAGGGTGTCAGTATAGTGGATGTAAGGATGAAAATAGACGAAGTATATATGATGCTGCACTTTGAAGGCAGTTACGCGACGAAATTAGACAGTTGGGAAATCGAGAGAAAAGTGCGTTTCCATAAGGACAGTGCGGTAATGCACAAATCTGGAATTGCCATGGTTGCAATCCAGCAGGCACCCACCTTCTTCTTCTGATCTGCTTCGTCAGACTTCCATCTGTTCACAAGCCGTAGAAAGCCAGATCCAGGGCACGAACGTCTTACATCGTTAGCAAATGATGAGCATTCACAAGTGGTGTATTAGGTCATTTGTAGATTCATGTGAATTAAATGGTTTAAGCTACCATTAACCAAGGTTATGTTGCATGCACCTGGATCATCCGGGGTATTGAGATCTATCGCAAGCAGCGAATGAGGCAAACATATCGAGAGATGGGAGCGATACAATGCCTGCCAGGGAAGGAGAAGGAGGACAAGAAATCCGTTCACAGTTCATGGCCGTCGAGAGGATGTTTCCGAGTTGGTGCTCAGAATGGAGGCCAGTGGCCAGGGGAAGTTGATAGAAAAGGTTTGAGATAGCTATATCTGGATGTTTATTTTGCTGAGCATTGCATTGGTATTGTACAGAAACTGTAGTGTGTATCCCGAATCCCAGAGTGTGCCAAGTTTGCTTCAGTAGGATGATCCAGTCACTAAAGGACATTAAAGCCTCCATTGAGTTCGACAGCTTGTCTCCTGAGGCTTTGAACACATCCAATGGTGTAAAGCAGGGAAGATTACTCACCCAACATTGTCTGGGATCTTCCCCGTTGTCATACTGAAGCCCACTTTGAGTCCTTGGCCGATGGAGTCTACCTCCACAAGATGGGAACAGCTCCACAAGTGCACAAGGTAAACACGATGAACCAAAGCAGTCTACAGCGATCGCCATCAGCAGGCTGGAAGTGATGAGCCAAGTCACCTCCTGACTTCACCCACTTCGCCACGACCGTTGTATAGAGGAAGGGGTTCCTGTACCTCGAGCACACACCTAGCAATGGGGCCTACTCCAAGCGGAACTGACAAATCTAAATTAGCACGGCTCTCATGCCGAAGCTATGAATACACAATGCCTGTTTTAGAAAGAAGGAAGCGCGGAAAAAATGCATAATATTCGGTACCTATATGAACAAAGTATAGTATGTTGCACTTTTTGTCTGTGTAATAAACATTATGTATATATACAATGCATAGTAATTTTATTATATTATCTATAAAATGAATAGCATTCTGCATACAGATAAAGATGCACGTTAAAAAGGGTCAGTCAGGTACTACAGGCAGGTCAAGTGGCGAGCAAGTCAGAAATACTTATTGGGAATATGGATAAACTTCAGTAATAATTCTTGTACTCATCTTTTTTTTTTTAAACATTTTTTCATCCACCCCTGTTACAGAGCATTGACCTTCATGCCAGGGAAATGAAGGTCATTGACATAGAGGAAATATTTTATATTTTAGTATCATATTTGATGTAATCAGTACTTTACAGTTTACTTAGGTGAATTTTAGTACAAATCACACACACACACACACACACACACACACACACACACACACACACACACACAAATCACACACACACACACACACACACACACACACACACACACACACACACACACACACACATACATACAATCCATAAAACACAAGGCCCTTTAATATCTGACATAAGACTTCGGATTATATTTTTGGGTCTTAGGCATGAAAATTACACAAAAGAATAGGACATTTTACTATTGCTGCTCTTCTGAAGAGAAGAAAATATGATACAACATCCAAGACCGATGACATTTATCAGCAGTACTTAAGGATATGTCTTTTTCTTTTTTATATCTGACAAAGAGTTCCTTTGAAATGTTTTTAAACTGTGGTTTGCATTTCTGATGTTTACATTTGCATATAAAAAAGTTTGCAAACAACAGAATAAATTACAAAATTCTGTCCGTAACAATGCTTTCTTTTACACCAAACAATATCAATTCTCTACTAAGGTTCATGTTGCATATATGTGAACATTTCTTTATCCACGAGCAGAGATCATTCCAAGATAACTGGGTAAACCTACAACCCCACAACAAGTGGGTAATTGTTTCACTATGAGTTTGGCAAACTGTACATAAATCATTCTCTGTATACTTCAGTTTAAGTAAGTAAGTATTGGTTGTATGCATTCTATGTATGATTCTATATTGTGTTGTTCGAATCAGACTGTTCCAATTAAGATTATCAAACAGTGCTTCCCACTTTAACTGATCTTCTGTCAGAAAATATCAATACATATGCTTTGCCCCTGATTTCTGACTATGCAACTTCTGCAGTGTACATCTATAATCTAAAACAGTGTCAGATTGACCTCTATCTAAAGTAAGAAACTTCAAATATTGTTTGATACTGTTGACAATACCATAAAATCAAAAACAAGTGTGGAAGTATGGTACCTTTCTTTAAATTCTTCAAATGATAAAATTTCTTTATTCTCATAAAAAAATCTATTATATGAGTGACACCTTTCTCATACCACTGTTTCATAAAAACAGGTTTATCATTAACTTTAATATGTGTGTTATAGAATATTGGCTCTGTTAAAAATTCGCTAATAAATCTGGTTTTACTTTCTTGTCAAAATGAACAAAAGAGATGAAGCAGTTTTACTTTTTCTTCGAAGTAAGATGCACCAAATATATTTATATAATCCATGAATGGGTAAATTGCTTGAAAAAGTTGCTTCCATTTAGGATTGCTTGCACCAGTGAGCTGTCTAATCCAACACACCTTATGGGCCTTAGCATACATAAAGATATCGACCATACCCAAGCCACCATTTCTCACAGGTTGACAAACTTTAGTACGCTTAACTCTGTCTCTCTTTCCACTCCATAACAATTTAAAAAGAATATTATTCAACGAAGCAAGAAACTCTTCTGATGGGCCGGGAAGTGACAACAAGTAGTTCACTTTAGATACTAGTAAAGATTTGCTACTCTGCCCATTGGTGTTACAATTCTTCTCATCCATCTGTTGATAATCATTTTTATTTCAAGAAGCTTATTCTTTAAGTTTAGTTGAGTCATACAAAGTCAGTACAAAACAGAATACCTAATATTTTAAACGTCTCAGGGTTCCACATAACGGGACGATATGCCATGAATTTGTCCTTACAACCTGTCATGCTACCAAGCCATACCACCTGTGTTTTACTGTAATTAATTTTAAGTCCTGAAATCTTAGCAAAGAAATCAAGACAAGCAATACAATATTTATCAAGATACCATTTATATCCTTACTGGACCGGATCAAAATAGCCAAAATCTCGGCCCAGAGAATACAAATATAAGGGGACAATGGGTCTCCTTGTCTACAGCCACGTTGAACATCAAACCATGTTGATGCCTGACCATTAATAGACATACAGCTTTTAATGTTTTTATAACAAACTGATATAAACTTCCTAATCTGTTCTCCAAATCCCCAGAAGGCAAGAAACTTGTGAATGAATGACCAGGCAATGGAATCAAATGCTTTCTCAAAATCTATTAGTAAGAGCACACCAGGAACATTATGTTCCTCAGTATATGCTATAGCATCATATAACAGAATATTGTTGCAAATATACCTGCTATTCATAAAACCTGTTTGATCCTCGTTGATTAAGATTGATAATTTACCCTGTATTCTATCCTTTTTAAGACGCTCCTTATTTTTGAAAGACGAATAAGAGATTGTACGCCCTCTGATTTCTAAAAGAATCTATTACTCATCTTTATCAAAACAATAGTCTAAGATACTGAAAGATTCTACGTATATTCCTAATACGGGATACTGCCCATCCCAAAACACTCTACAGTACAGAATACAACTTGTTAGGTGTACTTGTATCACTGACGTGGCATATTCTACTATTTGAATGTGTGCGGGTGTGAGGACAGTGGATAATCCTTTTTTAAATACAACATTCTATTTTGGACACAATTCCTGTCACCTTCCAGTCTGATGAAGAACTGTGCCTACGCTACACATGCCCCGCTGTGACACAGGCAGGGTAATGGTTGTCAGCTGTATACGTCAGCTCTGCGTCGTGCGTCATCAGGGGGTACAAGGAGTCGGATGTGAGTCGGTGCACTGAGTTTCATTTACACACACATAACACACGCTGTCTTATGGTATCTGATATTATACTGTTTCATTGGTAAAAAGAACAACATGCAGTGTCGAGTATCAGTCTACGAGGACTGCCGACAAGTCATTAATATGTTATAAGAGATACTTGCATGTTAAGAGTTTATCATTATCTAAATGATGATCTCGAAAGTACCCTATTTATCCCGAGGCGCGATGTGTTAGACAGAATCAGAGTCAATCGGATGTATACACTTTGTATGAAAGAAGAGAATGTCTGCTTAATTTCATTACTATTTAGCTCCCGGGTGTGTGTTTGGCTCATATTTGCAGGCTGTCGAGTCGTTGCCAATAAGAATGACATATGACGTGGCAATAGCTATCTGCAAACCACGCACTGACGACACAGCAGGTGAAAAATGTGTTTGTGATACCCTGTCTTGCTGTGACAACTATATAAACCCGGTCTGCTTGTTAAACCTCCCAAACACTGCCCGTCAGGATTTATAACCGGACATAAACAGGTAAGGTGTATCTGGTGTGAGCTCGGTCAGTCTGTATAGACGTGACCTTGGCAGATTGACTTCTGGGTATGACTAAAGACACTTGTTAAATCATTTTAGATAGTGCAATTGCGCATGCTCATACATGCGCGTACTTGGATATTACGTTTTAAACATACTTACTTGTCACATCCTCGTGTACAACAATAACGCCGGTGATTCTGGAGATGTTAAACCTGTTTCTACCGTGTTTCAGGAAGAACTATGCATCTGCCTGTGTCTTCTCGGGATGCGTGTATTCTGATTACCATGGTGCTAACGACAGCGCACGCCGTACCCTGTAGAGGACCCCAGTGCCTTGAGGACATGTCAGTATATCAGGACCGAACTGATGACGTCCTCAACAAAATTTTATTTTTCCTACGTACGGTTTTCAATAACCCTCATAATATCCCTGATGCCAGATTGTCCAGGGACATGGTGCCCCGACTGGACATTGCACCAGCCCCGGCGCACACCCAGCGGGACCTTTTGCCCGAGAAGAAGGGGCGCCCGTTCAGTCGCTTTCTTAGGATAGGTCGAAGTTCTGGCGGGCACTACTCTCTGGACGCAGAAAAGAGGAATTACATACGGATAGGAAAGATTCCATCATCTGCCTTCATGAGGCTCCGGGGAAGGACGAGGCAAGATGCTGTGGCCGACACTCTACGTCGTCTCAACTCAAACACCGCTATCAGAGTGGGCTAGTGGATGAGGTACGTACGGCTACTACAGATATTGCTCCTCACCTGTTTAAAAATGTGTAAAAGACTTGTGTATGGTACCACAGTGAGTGAGTGAGTGAGTGAGTGAGTGAGTGTGTTGAGTTTTATGCCGCTTTTAGCAATATTCCAGGAATATCACGGCTGGGGAACACCAGAAATCGGCTTCACGCATTGTACCCATGTGGGGAATCGAACCCGGGCCTTCGGCGTGACGAGCGAATCTGGATTACATTCAGCACGAGACACTCCTAGCTTGTACCTTGTTCGTGTGCAGGAATATAACACTGATAGATACAGGTGACTGATGCAATCCGTCACCCACCCTGAGTACGAAGGTTATATTGAAACACGTTAAGGCTTCTAAATTATAACCACACAGAGAAATGAATTGTGTTAACAGCCCGTTCAGTTCATACAGTGTCCGAATACTGTATAACTGGCTTTCCTTCAATGGTGTAAATTGATACTAAAAAAAAAGTACTGTAGGAAATGCTAGAAAAATGCTTTTCAGCCTTAATATCTTTATAAAGGTGATAAATGTACTATGTTGTCAATATATCAACTCGCCTATATTGTACCTAATTTTTATTTCAATCGATTTAACATCCCCATGCATTTAAAGGGCAGTTTACAGGAGAGAATTTGGTACCAAAACAACAAAAGAAATCTGAAATAGTCTTTACATTAATGCTAATAATACAGGCGGTGTAAAAATATGAATTAGCGTTTTTCATAAACAAATAAATGTTTAATGTTTCTGTTATTTCAATTTATTATCGTTTCTTTATTGAAGAAATATTAATATAAATGTTAAGTCTTGATAAATAAGTTTCCCGTCATGCATGCACATCTTTATCACAGCGTCCACTATGGCCAACTATTTGCAATCGATTGTTGTAAAGGTTTATAAGTTTTTTTTGCGTGAAAGACAGATGTAAACCTTTCGTTAGTTTAGAAAGGGTTTATTACAGAACTTGTAGAGCTGTTGGTGTGTCTTACCAACAAGTTCACAATATTGTAAACAAATCAGATAAGATAGGGACCGTCTCAAGAGCAAAACCGGGACGCAAAACCATCCTTGACAACTTTGACAAGGGAGTACTTAGACGGGCGGTCTTCAAAAGTTATGAGAAGAAGAATATATATAGTCTAAAAAAGCTACACCTGTGACTTAGTTAAATCTTTGGCCAATGTTCACAACTAGATTAAACTGACCGAATTACATCCATATATATGCAATGAAATATACTGTTGACATGCAAAACATTTATTAAAACGTTGCACATTTCTACAATCAATCGATAAGATAACACAAGTGATAGGATTCTTTCCAATGTACAGTAATTCGTATGTTTATTTCAAAACAAACAAACACACACACACACACACACACACACACACACATATATATATATATATATATATATATATATATATATAGGTATTGTTGGTGTGCGAAATGTGGATATCACATGATCCCTTACATAACCAACACGTATACTATACGTACACATATTCAACATTTTGAAGAAAACATCTATTGAGATGACCCCTCGCCCGAGCGTGTGCTCAGGTGTCAATTTCACCTGTCGATACCGTGCATGCTGATGACGTAACACAGGCAGTTCAAGTTTGTATCACATAACGTCCCACTACCGCTTATTTTTCTAAGTTTTTGGTATTTTCATCAGTAAAAACACATTTCAGGGCATGTCTCAAGATTTATTCCCTCGGTCTACATTAGGTAGATGTTTCTCAAAGTGATATTTGTTATTTAAGTAACTGTAATACCTCTGAATTTTAAATATGAGTCAAAAAGCATTTTTCTAGCATTTCCGACAGTACTTTAGTTACAGCCTGTGTCATAGTATATCTAAGATCAGTATTAAACTTCATACTGTTTTAGGGGCGGTGGGGTAGCCTTGTGGTTAAAGCGTCGTCACACGGAAGACCCGGGTTCGATTCTCCACATGGAGACAATGTGTGAAAACCCATTTCTGGTGTCCCCCGGAGTATTGGAATATTGCTAAAAGCGGTCTAAAAACCCAACTCACTCACTCACTCACTCACTCGTACTGTTTTGTGTGCCGCCTAAGTGACGGGTTACCTAGAGGTTGCAACCGCTTGTTGTGCAAGGCATGTCCAGCAGTATAACCTCCAAGAATAGTTCCTAGTCTTGTATCTGCATCCTGTTGTAAGTCTTGTGTGGGAATAGTGACAGCATGTGGTAGTGATCGATGTGTAAATGTAGTAGAACATCTGCGGTGTTCCTTCTTTGTTTCTTGTTGAACGATAGTAGTATGGCTTGTACAGACTCTGATCCGGACACATCAGTAAGTGGTGTTATGAGTGATGCACCTCGCCTCCTCAAGTCACACAACCAACCTTGTCACGGAGTCCGACCATCAGAAACTCCCCCAAGGCAGGTGTAGTTTCTGTTGAGGAAGCAATAGTAATAACGTCCTCATTTTGAACGTGTACCATAGTATTTCCGTTATCAAATGAACAAAACCTTTATATATCATGTACACATACACTTAACCTAAGCACTACATATGTAATATCCGTATTAAATCCATCGTATGATACGTTTACATGGGAGATTTGACAACAGAAGGCACAGCACCGCTACAACTGTAATGGCTTATTGATGTTCCGATGCATTCCTACATCATCTATATAGTGAACCAGAAGAATAGCCGTGTACCCTGGGGAGTCCAATGGCGCGGACTGTTTTCAGATGATTAAACGCTGTATGGTGCTTTGGGTACGGGCAAAGGAGATTTGATTTACATATTTCATATCATCAACGTCCACTCGCTCTTGCTCGTGATGTGGTCTGAATCCAGTTTTCTAGGTAACTATATGGCCCATGGGCGAAGCAGTTCAAATTTTGAGTTTTCGAAAAAGATTTTTTTTTTCATTGTTTCACCCTTAGCATATATTGATGACAACTGCATGTTTAATTTGTTGTAGCGGTGAGAATTTCAAGCATATCAGCACGCTTGCGCACACATCTAACATCACTGTAAAAGTACTCTGCAATTTAAACCAGTTGTTCGAGGAAAGTAGGTTTTTGTTGTTTGCTCTGATATATCCTTTAACCCAACTCAGTCGCACATGCAACCACTGGTCTCATGACAAGTGTCGAGTACGAGACAGCCAAACTGCATGTGACATTGCGTGAACATGGCTGGAACACGACGTCATCCAACGTCCACGTCATGTAAGAGCTTGTCAAGAACTAATTTACGCATGTACATAAACCGGCTTTGTGTGGCCGCTACATGCACAATAGGCTCATGGTTAGCATGTTGGGATATCTACTCCATCTGCACTCAAGGAAGATTAATCAATGTGTCAGCTGCAGTTTGCTGAAACCATATATCTTTTCATCCACGAAAGACCTTCGTTCCGAGATGTTATTACGCAAAAGTATGGTCGTATATTTACATATTAACCTTCATTTGTTTGCAAAACCGATAGGATTTTAATGCAAATAGTTAAAACTTAATTTTGTTCAGTCAAACAGACCTAGGTTCATTGATCAGACAGCGGGATCCGGCGACGGGGATGCTTGTGCAGTTGAATTTCACCAGAATATCATTATTCCCAGCGCTTCTTTCTATTCTGTGGATGATTTATTGATATTTGAATTCCGGCCTTAGATGTGGGAAAAACAATGACTGATATACAAACTACACGAATTCGCCTAGGGTACAGGGATCCTCACAATTACTCACATGAGATCATCTCTTATATATACGCTATAGAACAAAATTGCACAGGTTGGAAATGAATGGGAGAATGAATATATTGACTCTGCTATGGAACACATTGAGTGAGGCAATCATGGGAGAATGAATCGGAGTGTATGGTGTCTTGCCCAGATCAGGAGACTTCACATCTTCCTGTTACTAAACTAGTCCAGATCAGGAAGACTTCACAGCATCCTGTTACTAATCTAGTCCAGATCAGGAAGACTTCACAGCCTCCTGTTACTAATCTAGTCCAGATCAGGAAGACTTCACAGCCTCCTGTTACTAATCTAGTCCAGATCAGGAAGACTTCACAGCCTCCTGTTACTAATCTAGTCCAAATCAGGAAGACTTCACAGCATCCTGTTACTAATCTAGTCCAGATCAGGAAGACTTCACAGCATCCTGTTACTAATCTAGTCCAGATCAGGAAGACTTCACAGCATCCTGTTACTAATCTAGTCCAGATCAGGAAGACTTCACAGCCTCCTGTTACTAATCTAGTCCAAATCAGGAAGACTTCACAGCCTCCTGTTACTAATCTAATCCAGATCAGGAAGACTTCACAGCCTCCTGTTACTAATCTAGTCCAGATCAGGAAGACTTCACAGCCTCCTGTTACTAATCTAGTCCAGATCAGGAAGACTTCACAGCCTCCTGTTACTAATCTAGTCCAGATCAGGAAGACTTCACAGCCTCCTGTTACTAATCTAGTCCAGATCAGGAAGACTTCACAGCCTCCTGTTACTAATCTAGTCCAGATCAGGAAGACTTCACAGCCTCCTGTTACTAATCTAGTCCAGATCAGGAAGACTTCACAGCCTCCTGTTACTAATCTAGTCCAGATCAGGAAGACTTCACAGCCTCCTGTTACTAGTCTAGTCCAGATTAGGAAGACTACTTCATCAAAGAATAAAACAAAGATCCACACCAATAGACCACAATGATGAGCTGTAAGCCATGGAAAGTTCATGTGTTTTAGTGGGAGGGTTACAGATTTGCTCTCCCAAAAATGAAACGCATAGGTGATAATGATCTATGAAATTTTCAATATTTTTCCAAATTAGTATCTGTTTGTTATAATTTCGCCATTATAATGCTAGTTTGTGTACATGGAACGAATGCACAGCGCAAAACGCATCTTCGGAAACTTTAATGCACGTTAACGTTCGAAAGTGTCAACGTGCATGAAAATGGCACGAGCATGAGGAATCATGAGTAGGGACATTGCCTATTTTGCCGAGATTTTTTCAGACGGTCATTGGCATTTTTCAGCAAAATGAAAGGATATCGTTATGTCACGACTCACTGCTTTAAAATAGACGTCTGGAAGCTGGAGAGTCTCAGTCTGCCGTTGCACGTTACTTTAATGTTCACCAGAGTACGTCAGCCATTTATGGGACCTATATCAACAAACCAATTCTATGGAAGATCGGCCTCCATGAGGTAGACCTCGGATTACCACTGCAGCGCAGGATAGGTACATCCGGCAATTTCATTTGCGGAATCGAACTGTCACAGCCGTTCGACAGTGTCGGCTAAAACCATACGTAGTCGTTTACGAGAAGCTGGACTTCGAGCCAGAAGACCCTCTTTTGGCTCTGTGTTGCGACGACTACATCGACGGGTCCAGTGGTACTATAACGTTCGATTCTGGAAAAACTGGCGACGTGCATGGTTAAGTGACGAATCACGTTTTCTGCTTCAGTGCCGTGGCGGAAATGAACGTTTTGCCCAGATTGAACGATGTGGTGGTGAGAGTGTTATGATGTGGGGGATCATATCCTACACGCAGAAATCTAACTTTGTGCGCCTAAGGCAATTTGACTGCCATTCAGTACAGACACGAAATCTTGGGGATTCACATGGTTCCGATCATTGACCGCCAGGCCTTGCCACTATTCGGTATCCTGAGAATGAGAACATTACACTGCTTCCATGACGTGAACGTCAATCAGCGCCCAGGACGTTAGAAGAATGGGCCAGAATTCCACACGGTCGAATTTAAAGACGTATTCAATCCATGTCAATCCACCCCTAGTGTGCAGAACACAACCCTGTGCACTTAAAAGAACCCACTCATCCGATGGTAGGTGATCAAATGGTGGACACACGAACACGTGCAGACACCTAGTTGAGGGTATAGTAACGTGTAGTACCATTGGAGAAAATACTGTGATTATGTGTCCCAGTTCAACCAGTTGCAAATGGCTACCTTGTGAGAATGAGGCTGCGTGAGTTGAATACTCCCCAGGGAGTTGAGTTGGAATGCCAGAAAAATACAACATCCGTTGATTAAGGGAACACTCCAGGACCTTGAGCATGTACGAGTTACGTGGATATGTGCATAATGTAAATATCCTATAATAATGTCAATTCAGTGCAGAGCAGTTTGGGAGGCTCATAGTGGCCACAGCAGATACAGTGTATTGAAGGCAGAGCCAAGCTGGGAACCACGCCTTCACTTACTGAACATTTCATAAGCTGTATATGACATGTGTTGCTTTCCTTTTGAAATTTGGGTGCAACTGATGTTACTGAATTACATGTGTTATCTCATTTTACAGTTAGCAGATTAAATTCGTGAAAATATACCTATGCTTTTCTTGCTTGGGAGAGTAAATCTGTTATACTCCCAGTGGGTGAAAAGGTCGCCGTAAATGTCTGTTTTAATCTCAAGGGACAGGGACGTTTTAGTAATGTATCATATCTAGTTGACCATTCAGATCGCCGACTCAACCCGCCTTAAAGTAACTGACCAGCTCCTGAATACTTTTCAGAAACCAGTGGCCGATCTGGGTGTTGTAGCAAAGGCAGATCCATTAAATTCAGTCTTTTTACCGCAGAACGTGTTGTTTCGTCAGAGAAAACTAGCGTATGTTATAGTCAATGTATAAACAGTCATTGAAACGTTTACATAGGCAATTTACAATTCGCCTAATATTTCAGTCATGTTTTCAAATCAGCAGAAAGAATTTGTATTTTGTGGTTGCTCATATATAAGTTTGATGTTGATTTTCACCACCCGGGACTGATCATTAACGTAATATGGAGTGGGAAGATCGTTTAATATCCTATAATTACATACAGGAAGAAATTATGTATCAATGACTTTTACTGTGTTATCGTACTAAGCCTAATATTCCACAGAGGTTACTTTCCGGGCACAAACTAGCGTGGGTAGGCCAGCTATTGAAGAGCCTGTAAAATCTAATTAAGTCTCATGCTTGATACTTCAGAAGTTTTTTTTTTTCTATTTTCAGGTTTTCCGTGCATTTTGTACCCTAGAGTCCGTATTGGTCACACTCTGGACAAACAAGACATCATGGCGACCATTGTTTTAGCAGATCCGATTTTGGTGGCGCAATTTATGGACCCGTGCCAGTTGACCGGTGTATTGATTGGTCGTAGTTCATGACTAAGGAGATTTGTAGTGAGGCACTTTATGGAATACTGATAACTGTGGGGAACTTGTTGGAGAAGAGAACGCTGGATTGAGTAGATGCAGCAGCTGAAATAAGTGTGACTGACAGCTTCACGGTCACATTAAGCGGATTGGTTCTTGAATGTCGCATTACATCATTACAGTTATTCCATTCTTTAAAATTGTGTGACATGCATGAAGGCGATAGCCCAACGATGCGGGCAATCCGTACACGTGCCAATACTGATTGTCATGTGTTGCTGAGTTAATGGCGGCAGAGGTGACAAAGGTTAAGACTTCAGGGCAGAATTTAATGTTTTGTGTCTGAAGGAATATTTCTAGATTAATCAGATAACACCTTTTGAAATACTTCCTCAAACGAAGCCTGAGGTAATTGGACTAATCTAAATTTCATTAAAACGGGGCTTTATATTGCCGTTTACTGGGTGTCATGTAAACAGGAGAAACTGCCATTACGCCCCAACATGTTTGTTACTTGATTATCTGTACAACTAGCATTCATTTCATAATCATATCAATCCAGATGAGATCAGATTATTCCTACTTGTTAGGTTTTCATAGTTGCAGGTTTACGTTCATGATGGTCAAAGACAAGTGTTGTTGTGTACATGGATTACGCTCTGGATATAGATAATCCTTCCAAGAGAACTGCCATCAAATTCAACCGTCGCAAATATTAATCTGAGGAATGTCAGAATATGGTGTCAATAAAACGTAATCGCAATTAATACCTGAATAGATTTTTGTTATTTTTGATCAACCTCCCGAGAATTCATGTAAGTTGGGAACAGTGCCTTTGTTCTCTGGCAGCTTAAGATGTCGTTGCCATTAGTGTCCGTGTATGATGCGGATCCCAGGGTGATGGTGGACATCCACCTCCAGCTACATGCGCCTCTGCAGTATGGCCTCGCCTCAGTAAGCTGCTTAATCGAGTGTCTCAAGCACATTGTATCGAGACTCTGGCTAAACTGTGCATTTAATCAAGCAGATCTTAACAGTCATCGATGTCTAATCACAGAGTTTCCCTAACTTAATTATAAGAAGTGACACGTCCTTTCACATTCCAATAGGCTTAGGGCCCCGCTTTGGTGAACGTCATGGCTGTTCTGTCCACGTTCTAACTAGCGTTTGTTCGTGGCATTGATTTACTAGATGCTGTTTCATGTCTAAAAGCACTTTTCAAATAATGTCATAATGCCCCCATCTTTTGTTTTCACCTTAACTGTTCTTTATTTGACACTCAAGACTATCCAAACTGATTTAGGAGTCAAAGGGAAACAGTTGACAAGCTGTCAGTTATATTTAACAGCTCTTCGTCTCAGGTATCATTTAAGTGCATCTCCTTTCAAAAGCCTGGCTGCTTTAATCTGAATCTTAAAGATAATGGATCATATTTAATATGACCGTTACTAGGTGTATATATAACAATAACTATTATAAAGATCGAGCCAGTACTTTCTGTCACAGACAGGGGGCTAGTAAGACAAACGCCTGTTCACAAGGATGTATCACATCGTGATCATGTTGGATATGCAAGGATATAAGGAGTGTGGCAACTTCAGTATGGGGAGCAAGGCCTCACTGCACTGTTGGAAGTGGAACAAATGTTAAACTGTGGGAGTGGTGCAAGCCACTTTTAGGATGATCACTTTGTACTGGCTACCACCTCAGATCGGCACAACACTGAACACCCACGCTTCTTCCAGGACACGCCGTTCATCACTTCTACCGAAGATTAAAGTTATTTCTTTCGCCGCTGCATGATATTAATGGAATCTGAGGAATTGCAAAACTGAATATGCGATAGCGACGGGTATCTCTATCGCAAGTCACCATAGCTTGTAACTGGTGATTGTTTCGAGTGATATAGCACGTGGTGACGGGTACCTCTATCGCAAGTCACCATAGCTTTTAACTGGTGATTGTTTCGAGTGATATAGCACGTGGTGACAGGTACCTCTATCGCAAGTCACCATAGCTTGTAACTGGTGATTGTTTCGAGTGATATAGCACGTGGTGACGGGTATCTCTATCGCAAGTCACCATAGCTTGTAACTGGTGATTGTTTCGAGTGATATAGCACGTGGTGACAGGTATCTCTATCGCAAGTCACCATAGCTTGTAACTGGTGATTGTTTCGAGTGATATAGCACGTGGTGACAGGTACCTCTATCGCAAGTCACCATAGCTTGTAACTGGTGATTGTTTCGAGTGATATAGCACGTGGTGACAGGTACCTCTATCGCAAGTCACCATAGCTTGTAACTGGTGATTGTTTCGAGTGATATAGCACGTGGTGACGGGTATCTCTATCGCAAGTCACCATAGCTTGTAACTGGTGATTGTTTCGAGTGATATAGCACGTGGTGACAGGTATCTCTATCGCAAGTCACCATAGCTTTTAACTGGTTATTGTTTCGAGTGATATAGCACGTGGTGACGGGTACATATATCGCAAGTCACCATAGCTTTTAACTGGTTATTGTTTCGAGTGATATAGCACGTGGTGACAGGTACCCCTATCGCAAGTCACCAAAGCTTTTAGCTGGTTATTGTTTCGAGTGATATAGCACGTGGTGACAGGTACCTCTATCGCAAGTCACAACTATTACACTTGTGTATGGTATGGAACAGTTAACAACTATTACACTTGGGTGGGGTATGGAACAGTTAACAACTATTACACTTGTGTGTGGTATGGCACAGTTAACAACTATTACACTTGTGTGTGGTATGGAACACTTAAGAACTATTACACTTGTGTGTGGTATGGAACAGTTAACAACTATTACACTTGTGTGTGGTATGGAACAGTTAACAACTATTACACTTGTGTGTGGTATGGAACAGTTAACAACTATTACACTTATGTGTGGTATGGAACAGTTAACAACTATTACACTTGTGTGTGGTATGGAACAGTTAACAACTATTACACTTGTGTGTGGTATGGAACAGTTAACAACTATTACACTTTGTGTGGTGGTATGGAACAGTTAACAACTATTACACTTGTGTGTGGTATGGAACCTGTTAACAACTATTACACTTGTGTGTGGTATGGAACAGTTAACAACTATTACACTTTGTGTGTGGTATGGAACAGTTAACAACTATACACTTTGTGTGTGGTATGGAACAGTTAACAACTATTACACTTGTGTGTGGTATGGAACAGTTAACAACTATTACACTTGTGTGTGGTATGGAACAGTTAACAACTATTACACTTGTGTGTGGTATGGAACAGTTAACAACTATTACACTTGTGTGTGGTATGGAACAGTTAACAACTATTACACTTGTGTGTGGTATGGAACAGTTAACAACTATTACACTTGTGTGTGGTATGGAACAGTTAACAACTATTACACTTGTGTGTGGTATGGAACAGTTAACAACTATTACACTTGTGTGTGGTATGGAACACTTAAGAACTATTACACTTGTGTGTGGTATGGAACAGTTAACAACTATTACACTTGTGTGTGGTATGGAACACTTAAGAACTATTACACTTGTGTGTGGTATGGAACAGTTAACAACTATTACACTTATGTGAGGTATGGAACAGTTAACAACTATTACACTTGTGTGTGGTATGGCACCTGTTAACAACTATTACACTTGTGTGTGGTATGGAACAGTTAACAACTATTACACTTGTGTGTGGTATGGAACAGTTAACAACTATTACACTTGTGTGTGGTATGGAACAGTTAAGAACTATTACACTTGTGTGTGGTATGGAACAGTTAACAACTATTACACTTGTGTGTGGTATGGTACAGTTAACAACTATTACACTTGTGTGTGGTATGGCACAGTTAACAACTATTACACTTATGTGAGGTATGGAACAGTTAACAACTATTACACTTGTGTGTGGTATGGAACTGTTAACAACTATTACACTTGTGCGTGGTATGGCACAGTTAACAACTATTACACTAGTGTGTGGTATGGAACAGTTAACAACTATTACACTTGTGTGTGGTATGGAACAGTTAACAACTATTACACTTGTGTGTGGTATGGAACAGTTAACAACTATTACACTTGTGTGTGGTATGGCACAGTTAACAACTATTACACTTGTGTGTGGTATGGAACAGTTAACAACTATTATGGAACATATTGATATGCTTATTACTTGTTGTGGTATGGTACAGTTAACAACTATTACACTTGTGTGTGGTATGGAACAGTTAACAACTATTTACTTAACTATTACATGTGTGGTATGGCACAGTTAACAACTATTACATTTGTGTGTGGTATGGAACAGTTAAGAACTATTACACTTATGTGTGGTATGGAACAGTTAACAACTATTACATTTGTGTGTGGTATGGAACAGTTAAGAACTATTACACTTATGTGTGGTATGGAACAGTTAACAGCTATTACACTTGTGTGTGGTATGGAACAGTTAACAACTATTACACTTGGGTGGGGTATGGAACAGTTAACAGCTATTACACTTGTGTGTGGTATGGCACCTGTTAATAACTATTACACTTGTGTGTGGTATGGAACAGTTAACAACTATTATACTTGGGTGGGGTATGGCACCTGTTAACAACTATTACATTTGTGTGTGGTATGGAACAGTTAACAACTATTATACTTGTGTGTGGTATGGAACAGTTAACAACTATTACACTTGTGTGTGGTTTGGAACAGTTAACAACTATTACACTTATGTGTGGTATGGCACAGTTAACAACTATTACACTTGTGTGTGGTATGGAACAGTTAACAACTATTACACTTGTGTGTGGTTTGGAACAGTTAACAACTATTACACTTATGTGTGGTATGGCACAGTTAACAACTATTACACTTGTGTGTGGTATGGAACAGTTAAGAACTTTTACACTTATGTGTGGTATGGCACAGTTAACAACTATTACACTTGTGTGTGGTATGGAACAGTTAACAACTATTACACTTGTGTGTGGTATGGAACAGTTAACAGCTATTACACTTGTGTGTGGTATGGAACAGTTAACAACTATTACACAGATACCACAAAGGTCAGAGTTTGCTCCAGCCCACCCTCTCATGTCTGACCATATGTCCAGATACACGCACATATACCACAAAGGTCAGAGTTTGCTCCAGCCCACCCTCTCATGTCTGACCACATGTCCAGATACACGCACATATACCACAAAGGTCAGACTTTGCTCCAGCCCACCCTCTCATGTCTGACCACATGTCCAGATGCACGCACATATACCACAAGGGCCTCCCCCAGCGGTAACAACTATAAACTCATAATAAACATATTAGTGGTGTGTTTACGCTCATGGGCTCAACCCCGTCTATGTTGCTAATAGAATAAATTGGAGGAAATAAAATCAAGCGAAGCAGTGTCAGAGGATGTTTCATGTAGCCAGATCACTTTAGTGCCTCCGGCTGGTCTATTCATACTCTCAGAAATGTGAAAAAATGAGAGAAGTGGGACTCTTAAGCGGAGCTAAATTAAATGAAAGGGTTAAGATTTGCTACAAGCAAGAAGTCGATAGCACATATAATTGCCTTCTGAAATGAGCGCATTTTGTCTGTCAGTTGAAACATGAGAAACATTGAGCTAAAACATGTTTCTGTTGGGTGGTATCAGATCTCAGGCTTGTTTAACTTTATCAACAACTCCACGACCATCAAAATACGTCTGATAAGTTCTCACCTCCATGTAATCACACCACATCTCCCCGTAAAC